TCCTGCCGCGTGTCCGAGGCGCGGCGCAAGGACTACAATACCCGTCATGCCTCGCGCGCGCACCTGCGCCCCGCCTCCCGAGGACGGACGGGAAATGGAGTTGCCTGCGTTCCTTGCGCTCTCAGGAACTGCAACTCCCGGCGGCCCCGCGCGCGCCGTGCGTACCCGCCGGCCCCGCCCCCTTTTCCAGGGGGATGCGGAACGCGGAGTTGGCGCGAACGCCTCAGGCGGGACGGGAGCCGTCCGGGTCAGCTACCGGCGGTGAACAATCACACCGAACACGTCCCGGGGAGCAGAGGTGCACAGGGACAGGACAGGGGACAGGAACCGCCCGGGTCAGCTCCCAACGCTTCACCCGAACCCGTCCTGGGGAGCGGCGGCGGCTGCAGGGCTCCCGGGGAAGCTGTGGGAGCACGCGCCCTCCCACGGCGTGCAGGAGGGAACGCTGCCGTGCCCGTCCGGCCAAAAGTGCACAGCATGCATGGAAAGTTCCAGTTCTGGTCATTCTGTAGGACGCTTTGACTTGGTTGTTACTGTGTAGAAAACCCATCCCGTTAAGCCCGAGTCAGTAGGACTTTCCAAATGCTGAGGCCCTCCCTCCACTGGTGTGACTCTTAGAAGTTTCTAAAACAAAATCTCAACAAGCAAACCCAAAAAAGATCGCTTGAAGTTAAGTATATTTGGAGGAAACAGTGCAGAACAGAGGGGAAACAAGTAGATTTTGGTTATGGGGCTGCAGGAGGCTGTGGCAGCATTCTGTCCCATAAGGTACAGTGTGTTTATAACTACACAAAGCAAATATTTGGGAGTTTCTTGGAGTGCTGACATGTGAGGAGCAAGTCATCTGCAGCATTATTCGTATCAGAACACTGTGGGACACATTACAGAGTTTTTAAAGCAGGTGGTCTTAGAACTGATAATGAAAGATCACTGTTTGGTACAGAGTCCTGGGCAGTTTTGGTTGGAGAGCAAAAGCTTTCCTGAAGGGACATTTGTGTAACGTAATCCTGACATGAGAACCAGAGGGTTTCTGGCTGCACACAGGAGCAACATGTGGGCCATGGACAAACAAAAACTTCTACAGATGTTAATGGAAATGTGGGCTTCCAACAGATCGTAACCAGGGAAAACATTAGTGTGCAGGGTAGCACTTACAAAAGAAAAAAACCAAAAAAAAAACCCAAAAAAAACCAAACCAAAAAACAACCCCAGAACCCCCAAAAACCAACAAAACCAAATCCCCACTAACACCACAGAAAGTTCATTTTGGAAGAAAAAGTATCACTTATAATGAGAGACTAAAAACCTCTGCCTAAGTGGAAGCCTTTCCTTCAAGCACCACTGAGAGGTTAACCCTAACCCTATCTCTGGCACAGAGTTAGTCTCCAGTTTTCAGGCATTGTCAGTCTCTATTTTTCAAATCAAGTATAATTAAGGAAGAGTCTCACCTGTGCTACTGTTGTAATATTTGGAATTTTGTCAAGCTGCAAATAAGTCCCAGCTGTGTGTGTCACTCACTTTTCTGTTTAACAAAAGGCAAAGTAGTACCCAGTGCATTGTTTGGGTTTGTTTTCTTTCTAACCTTTGCTTGTTAGGTGACATTTATTAGCCAAGAGGTGTCTGATACATTTCATATAGTACAGAAACAAGGTAGCACCATTTCAGCACTCAGGGATTACGAGTGTTGAATAATAGACAAAACTCCAGTGCACAGCAGGCTGCATGCATTCTGCTGACAGAGGGACTTGCTACTGAGCACTTTTTACTGTCACTGTGAGCATGAACAGCTCAGGTTTGTAACGAGTGCCATGCTGCACTGCAAGCTGGTGTTTTGTTTGAGCCCTGACACAGCCTACAGGTCAGGAAAGCCTTAACTGGGGCCAGGTGCTGCCTTTTCTGAGCAGTTAAGATGTACCTTAAGATGATCAGCACAAGGAACACAGAGACAGCAATTCTTGCACGCATTTTGGCATTCCTTAAAAAAACTTCTTGAAGGTTTTTGAAATGGGCCTTCTTTCTGATGGCTCCTAAAGCACTGAGTTGTGATAATTTTTTTGTATTTGTCTAGGGGGAGTAGGGCCAAATATGCGTTTGATCAGAGGTACAGAAGTGCATAATACCACTGATTTCAGGGGAAAAGAATTAGTTGTGTTTCACAACCTTTCTTCCTTCCTTGACAGGTACTTATTCCCTAGGTACTTGCTAGGATATAAACGATTAGTCCACAGAATTTCAAGATGCCAGATGTCCTTCAGAGTGCACAAACCTGTTTTGCAGGCTGTCACACATAGGAATTGTGTAAACTCAAACACTAAATTTTTAACAGGGCTACTAGTTTGTTTTTCCACTTTGGAACAGCTGGTACTCAAAACAAAAGTGGAATTATGATAATTTTACTGGCAAAACATCCACTGGAGTGTAAATGGTCCTGTTTTCTTGAGGTTTTAACACATTATTAAAGCTTTTCTTGTTTAAATCTCTTTTGCATCAAAATGTTTAGAATAAATATACCAGTTCTTCATTTAAAAAATGCTAAAATTCTTTTCTTACTGAGAACCACCCAGACAAATCCACTCATGTCGTTAATAACTTCAGTGATCAAGACTGCTTAGAAAAGAGGAGTCTGGCCCAGCTTAGGGTTAACCTGTGATGACTGAGGGGCAAAGAAATTGTCTCCCCCACAACTGCAGTTCTACCATCCTTGTGCTGCCTCTGAGCTGTTGGACCCTGCATTGACTGTCCAGCTCATTAAATTTAGTGACAGAATAATCCACTTTCTTTTTCCTCCTGGGCTACTCAGATGAATCAAGAGGCATTTGACAAATGCCAGGGCTGGTATAAAGTAAGAATGGGGAATAGGACTTATTTTTTGGTGAGAGCAAGTTTTTAATACAATAAACCAGCCCAAGGCAGTTTCACCACTAATTTGCAGTCTGTGGTGAGCCAGTTCTGTAGCAGTGAAGTGGAGGGCTCTGTTCACATGGTGTTAGAAACAGTGGTCTGTACTTTGGTAGTGATTTCCACCCAAGCTCCCACAAGCACTTTGCAGCCTGGCAGGGACACCTATGAAATAGCAACACTTTAGCCGTGTGAACTGAAGCAGAAGAGAAAGATGGCTTTCACTAGAAGCTCCAAACAGGTTAGTAGCTTCAAGAAGTTACTTGCTCACCACCAACAGGTAAGTTTTTAAAATTCCATAAACCACCAACAGCCTTAAAATGGAAAGAGAGTTGTTTTAAGGTGCTGAGTTATGATTTAATTGACTCAGTCTACTTTGACATCAAGTAACTTCCTGAGCTACTGCAACATGGGAAGAAACATTTTGGCTGAGACTGGGAGGAGCAGGAAAGGAATACAACTCCCTTTGTGGTGTGGCAGCAGGCTGGGATTGGAGTGACACAGTGTGAACCATACCCTGATATTTAAAGGTATTTAAATGTGTACAGTAGTTACACACCTAAATGAGTAGCCTGATATTTAGAATTGCTTTGAAGTCAGAAAGAGCCTTTAAAAACAAAGCCAGAGGAACAACTTATTTACTTAGGAGAAAGAAAGGACAGGAGGTAAGAAGTAAATTATTAGAAGTTTGACTAGGTGCCAGGAACTTATAAATTAATGTTCTTAAACCCTGGCAAATTCTCTCTCCAGGTAGTCTGTGGAGATGTAGCTGAGAACTAGAGAATAGAAAACACAACTATGTTTCAGCATGATGGCTTCATTAAGAACCAAGTCTCTCCTGAGCTTTACTGGTGCTTGTGGAAGTGTAAGTGAATAAAGAGGCTTTTATATTTATACAAGACCATGTCTAATCCAAACTAAGATGTCTTGGCCTGGAAACATCTTTTTACTGATTTGTTGTTCCAATACTGCTATTTAACAAATGCTCTTTCTGGCCTGTTCCTCTCCCTGTGCTGGGCATTGGCACAACTGCAGTCCATGAATTCCCTCAATGAAATGTATTTGAAACTATTTAATTGGAAGAATTTAAAATAAAAGTCTTCTTTGGTTTTCCAAATGTAGCACCAGAGCATAAGCTCTGTTTCACAGTCCAATCATAGAATTAGTCCACATCTACAAAGGAATTTAGAATTTGTCTCACATTTCATTGTGGGTTGGCAGTACTTTGGAGCTGGATTCTTCTTTTTGAGGGCTCCAATCTAGTTAAAGCCTTTTTTGATCGCTCCTTTTGGAACAATTAAACACATACTGCAGACTTCAAAAAGGGCATAAATTTAATTGGTGTTCCTTTAGATAGCAAAAGAAATACATTGATTGCTACACCAAAATGCCAGTTTGTAATTTTGTGCCCATCTTCTCAGCTCTCAAATACCTCACATGCTCAGCTTATTATTTTTAAAAATAGCCATGTGTGTATCTCACTTCTATGTGTATACACAACCTTTATTCTCCTTGATTGTGTATCTCTAAAAAGAAAGACTGAAAGGTCTTTTTTTTGCAAGTGCCATCCCTTTTTCCAGGTGACTCTAATTGGAGGCTCAGAGTTCTCAGCTGTGTGTGTGATCTATTTCTTCGTTACCCTGTGTTGTTTAGATCTCAGAGATGTGTAAGGTGGGTTCTTGTTGGATCTTTGCTCACAATGCCTCTCTTTGAATGCACAGCAGTGCAGTTTCTCCTTAGACAGAATTTCTTCTGTGGTTTCCATACCGTGAGACTCCAGACTGAAAAAGAGGAGGGGGAGAATAGTTTAGTTAAGTTGTTTTTCTGTCAAAACTGTTGTATGTGTGGGTTTCTTGCTATCAAAGCTCAAAAGAATCAAAGGTGTGCACATTGTGAAGAACCTGTGTGTAGTTTATAAACCTATGACAGTTAAAATGTTGTAAATAGCAGAGAGATTGCTTAATGTGGAAGGAATGTGCTGAGCAAAGAACGCGCATCCAAGGAAGGGAAGAGTGAGATCACTTAAATGATGTAAACAGTGACTGAGCTAGGACTAGGAAGGTTAGAGACAGGAGGGAATCTATTTTGAAGAAAGGCAGAGATTGTGTGGTTTCAGAGATCTGAAAGCCAGGTGTAGGATTAGTGGGAGGAGGCATCATGTCAATCAAAATACTGAAAAAAAATCTTGTGAAGCACAATCCAGATCTCTGCTTTTCTGTTCTTATGCTTTCTTTTAGATCAGCAATATTTTTATTAGAAAATTAACCATTTACTTCCTTAGAAGCAGCATGGCCAGCAGGACCAGTGCAGTCACCGCCACTGCTGAGGCCACACCTCGAGTGCTGTGTCCAGTTCTGGGCCCCTCATGACAAGAAGGGACATTGAGGTGCTGAACCATGTCCAGAGAAAGGGACAGAGCTGGGGAAGGGGCTGGAGCACAAGTGTGCTGAGGAATGGCTGAGTATTAACACACTGTCTATTCACTGCCTTTCTGGTTGCAGGGACTCCCTGACATGGAGAAGCTGCTGGATACTGTAATAACTCCAGGCCAGATCTCCTGCTTTATAAATATGGTAAGAGTTTTATAACATTTGTTTTATATGGAAAGTTTTACATGCTGTCTGTCTCAAGGGAGGGGGAAATAGAAAACTGGTTCCATGTGGAATTTTCTTGTGCTTTCTTTTCACCTTCTTAATTCTCCGGAATTCCAGTTGAGGGAGCATGTTGTCCATTAGAGATCCCTTAAGATTTTAGTTTCAGTAATGACTAAAGCAGAATGGCATTATTCTTATGAAGGAAGAATAACACCATCATGGGATTTTTAAAGCTGCTCTTCTATGGCTAGTTAACATGTTAACATTGTTGTAGAAAATAATTACTTCATTATGGAATTGTGAGACTGAAAAAGTGAGCTTGCTTCTAAATAGGCTTAATTACTCTAGAAGTATTCTGTGCCAGTATTCTTATTCCAGAGACAACAATTTGCATGGGGAATTATTCTGGAGTAGTGGTGGCTAAATCAATTACAATTTCCCTCCTGTCTTGAGAGAGAGCACATATTGACACTGTGATGCTATACATGAGAATTTGAAAAAAGTGAATGTGCCTTACTCAAACTTCTGATTAGATAGAGAATTTGGCTAAGATTGCCAGAACAAAAATTTACAAAACATGTTTGCATTAAGAAATAAATTATATTTCCATTCTGTAAAAACTATTGTACCAACATAAAAATGTCACTGGCATTCCAACAAGCATCGGCTTAATCCAAACTTGCTTGCACAATTCCTTTTTTACGCGTTGTCCTCAGTAGTTACATAACTATTCTGGCACATGTGGAATGTCAGAAAAATGAAAAGGTATCTTCTTTGCCCCAAGGGTTTGCAGTCTATTAGGACTGCTTTCCTGGGCTGTGCACTTCCTCTGTTCCATAAGCTGGTTCCTAGCTCAGTCAGCTTTGAACACAGTGGGGGATACAGAAACTGTCTGTGATTTAATTGACTGTGTTTATACTATTGTTATTTTAATCACTATTTTAAGGGAACATTTTCTCTTCTGTTGTTTTGCTCTTTAATCCATTTTGGAAATACTCAATGTCGCACCAGCAACATCACTCTTTTCAAAGCTGTGGTCTAATTAAAATGTGCTGAACCAAACAGGCAAAATCCACATTGTTCTTGTTTTTGCTCTGTGTGCAAATGACATTAAACAATATTTTGTCTAAGAGCAGCATTGTTCTGTGCAGCTTGTAAAAGTTAATGAACATGATGAACCCTTTAATAGCTCCATTCTTTTATTTACTAGCAGTGTGTGCCCCATTCCTAGAACAGCTTATCTCCTCCCAGCCATACAGTCAAAGCATGCACTTCACACAACATGGATTTCTGAAAATAATTGTTTCAGAAAGTTTTAATACTGCTTTAGGAGATGACTGTCTGTAAGACTGCTGTTCCTTGAAGTTCAATAACTTTTGAGAAGAAAAAGTGGTGTTTTTGGGTATGTGCATTGTTCTTGCAGATTTTTAGGATTGTTGAGGTGAGGTGATTTATAAGAGACTTTTTTGGGGGGGATTTATTCTGTAAATAGCTTTAGAGAATTGGAGAGGATCAGAGCAAGCCTGTAGTATAAGATTTGACAGTGTAGGTCAGTTGCCTTAGTGAGTGGGAAAAAAAGAGCTGTGCCAGCACAAAACCATCAATGTAGAAGCAACTATACAACCAGAAGAATTCCTTTGTCAGCCTAGCTAGTGTTGTTTGTGAAGGGAATGTTATAGTCCTAGCAGAAAACCCTCTTTCTCTTGGTAAGTGCTATGTAATTATGCCAGCAGAATTTCTGAAGTACAGTCAGGCAAAAAAGTTGGCACAAGCTTCAACAGAGAAACCCTGAAGCAGTGCCAGAAAAAAACTTTGTTGTTTATGTTATGTGTGGTAAACAGATCTCAAGTTATTGTTCTGTGACAGATGAATTTCAATCCTTAATCATTGACATGATGATATTACTTTGATTTTCCATCCAGAATCCTCATTTTATTATTTTGGCTTAGACACTCACAACAGCTTTTTTCAAATTAAATAGTGAAAGATAAAATTTTTCATACCTTTTCCAGGTTACTGATTTCTGTCATGTAATATCAATTTAACATGTCACAAGTAAGAACTGATGAGGATTTCTGGAAGTCTTCAGTTTCTCCAGATGTTTAATGGAACCAACAGTCAAATTTGGGTTCATGGCAGGAAATGCTCTGGCTGGATGTTCGGTGCTTGGTGTGCCCGTTTTCTGCCAGAGCAACGTGGAACTGGAGGTGTTCTGCTCCCGTGGGAGAAGGCTGTAGGTCTGAAACATTTGTGTGTCTGTGTACAACTCGAAAGCACCAGCTCCTGCTCTGTGCTGGGCTCTGTCCCCTTCACCTGTACTCCCTTCACCTGTAAAAATTATTTGATTTCTTGAAATCCTGTTCAGCAATTTGGTACCCTACTAGAACTGTCAGTGCTAAAACTATTCTTCTAAACAACAAACAGAAAATATAGTTCATACTGGTCTTTATAAATTGTCTCCAGGTGTCACTCCTGAGTCAGACAGATACATTTTAGAAACAAATCTGAGAATTGGTTTTCCTTTTCTCTTTTTTCTTCCTGTTGTTTCTGCAGGTGATACTTCTCTTCTTGCATTTTTTCCCATTGCTGTCTCTAAGGATGCCAACTCCAGCAGGCCAGCTTAACTTGTCTGAATTATTCTTAGAGGATATCTTGGGGAGTTTTTGAATTTCAGTTACAGTAATGTAACTGCAGAAATACTTCCCTGGCAATACTTTGTGATTTATGGTTAAATGGTTATTGTAGTTAATAAATCCTTTCTTATTTTGTCCAACTCTGCTAATTTCTGCCATCCTTTTGAAGCAAAATTAAAAGAAGTGAGCATTTATTAGCATCAACATGTAATTGTTTGGAAAGCCAGTGCAAGCTCTGTAAATCCCATAATTGAACAAGAGCTGAAAGGTAACTTTACTGGTAAGTAAGGTATATATTTATTATTCCCTAAAGGTAAATAACACTGTAGGAGAACCATCATTCTGTACCATCATCCCATTTTTTTGTGTGTTTGCATAGTCTACATATAACAAATCGGTGTTCTGCTTAGAGGATTTAATGTGTATTATAGAAGGCAATGGAACAATTATTAACATAACATAACTACAGTTTCTAGGTAACAATAGCCTTAATGTCACTTAATGAATTTATTCTTAATGCTTCTAGTTTTTGTTTCATTAGTTGGCTGAATCCAATATTTTACTTTATAAACAGCTTCTCAATTCAGGTGTAAAGCATCTCATATTAAAGCCAGTTGGTATAGCACACTTCTCCCAAAAAAGTGCTTAAAGGGTTGTTTGTTTGGGCTTTTTTTTTTAATATTAACTCCTTGCTATCAAAATTACTCAAAAGTGAAGGTTGCACAAGAACCTTGTTAAGCTAGAAAATGTCTTTCTTACTCCTGGACATGGATTTTGTAATAATGTGTGCTTTAGATGTGTAGTGAGATCTGTCAGTGGGATCTATTGCTTATCAAGATTGATTCATTACATGCTTGCTTTCATGCCCTTGAGGAGAGGAACTTCTGAATGTTAGGATGTGCAGAAAACAAAGGCAGCAGGCCATGGCAACCATAATTCCTCATCATTTTTTGAACCATTTGTTGCCTGTGTTTTGTCATTGCATACATCACTGGCACTGTGTACAGCCAAGGGAAAAAGGCTGGGACTTGAATGGTGGCTGCTTAAAGGAATGACACAGAAGAGACCCTTTGCTGTCATTGCTCCCCCGTTTCCAATGTGTGAAAAATGTATTGCTTAATTATCAAGGATTTGTGGTTTGGGGCACATCTGTCAAAAAATTAGCTTATCCTTAAAGGCTGTATACTTTGGGAAATAGTAGTCCAACTGTAGAGGGAGAATTATTGCTGTAAGAGACAGCATCATTCTCCAGAGCTCTGATGAATGAGCTGTATTATGTCTTTTACTTGGGGGGAAGTTTCCTAGAGTTTGACTGAAAAGATGAGACTACTTTGTATTTACATTGTGTATTATGAGAAATATGTTTGAACTCTAACCAGCCATATAGGAAAAATTTCTGGCCAACTGAGAAAGCATTTCTGCCACAATATCTTATATACAATCTCAAATAATTAGGCATAAATTAATTTCTACTGTACTTAGAGTTTGACAGGACTTTTCAAATTAAGACATTGGTGCATTAGTTTACCAAATGGATTTCTCTGGTGGACTTAGTTGCATGTCACCAGTAGGTGATCAGCTGTTTATATACATTTTTTTTCCCCTGTGTTGTTTCTGGCCTTTTTTCCAGGGCCTAGGATGTAAAACTCCATGAACTGACTGGATTAATGAATTAAAGCTGTTTGCCATGTGGTCAGGTAAGCCCTCCAGCCCTTCCTCAGCTTTCAGAGTACATAGAATGAAGAGCAGGACTATCCCTTTCACTAACACCAAAACATTTAATCAGCTTATCTGTATATAATCTAACCACATCTTTGGTGGCCTCCAGACATAGACATGTTTTGTTATTTCTTTCCTTGCTTTGAGATCAACATTTCTCTTGCAAAGTCCCTTTACAGTTTTTATGAATAATACCAATATCATACTGAGTAGGTATCAGGGTACATCACAACAACACAGGAGTAGAGCAGGAGTGCATAACCAAGTCCAACAAAGACACGTGTAAGGTTTTGCACCCCTGGAAAAGCAATCCAGGAGTGCAGCAAAGGCTGGGATCTTTCACTGAAGTCAGTGGATAAAAGCTTAAAGAATTGGATCAGCTTATCTGTTCTGAAATTCACTTACTGTACCTATGGATACCATGAAGATACTTTCAGGAGTATCTGCTTTCTTGAGATCACTGTTGAGAATGTGATTGTCCCCTCCATGGCTGAAAAGGCTAAACAGCATCTTAAAAGCAAAACCTGAAATTACTCTGTGCATAAAGTACCAAATGGTTCTTCATCAGAAACAAGGATGATATTGCAGTCATAACTGAGGTTTCTTCCCTCAGAGTGTGATTCTGCAAGGCAGAACCAGTTTTATGACTTCAGCACTAGCACTGACTTCCTAGAGAAAGTTTTGGCATAACCCACAGTCTCTACCCTTATTTTCTTCTGTCACACCTAAATCAGATTTCATCAATTCCTATTTATCCACTAATCTTGAAGAGGGAGGAGAGCCTGTGATAGAAAGCCTTGAGCTGTGCACCTGGCCCATAGAAACAAGTGCAGAAGCCACAATAACCATTTCCATCTGCTAGAGACTAGAATACAGATCTGTTAGACTGCTCCACTAAAAACAGTTTGTGTATTCCCACATGGTGCATTTTGTGGGAAAATAAGGCTCATAGTAATGTGGTTTGAAATTACAACTCCTTATACAATGTTTTCCTTTTATATTTCTGTAGTCAAAAAGACAACTTAAATATGATACAGAGAGAGAGCCTGTAATTCTGATCTGTCTGTGGCAGTGATACTGGATAGAGGCAGTTATTGCTACTTGCTAGAAATTATTAGTTAACTTTGTATTTAAAATAAATTCTATTAGAATAAAACATCAAGATACACATTAGCTGTGTAAACTACTTTGATTGTGACAGTCTGTAGTCAAAGCTTTTTATTTTTCCTGTGAGGAGACCAAATACATTTCCAGAAATGTTACATTCACTGTATATACATCTACCTGGGAAGAAGACATCCTATAAACTTACTTTACCATGCTGGGTACTGCAGTATTAGCCCAATGCTAGTTCTGTATTGTGGAAAAATAAGTGAAAAATGCAGATAATGTTTTGAATCAAAATTGTAAAATAATAATATAGCACTTATTTAATGATTAGAATGTAATCTTATTAAATTTTTCATAGAAATATGGTTGTAAGCAAAAAAAAAGTAGCTATAACTCCCAAACGTAGCAAAAATGTCAACCAAGCCCTAATAGATGATAAGTGAGGCTAATTCGGAATTGAGAAGCAATCACCATGAAATAAAAAACCCCAGTGTTAGAGAAAAGAACAATTATGATGAACTCCTGTTTGGAGATCTTTCTTCTCTACAGTTTGTAGTACTTAGCACCTGCTCTAGAAACGTCTTCTATAAATAACCATTTTCTGTTTCAGACAAAATTTACATGAAAACTATCTTGGTGCAGCTGTTCAGTTTTTCTAAAATTGTGAATTGCCAGAAAAGGAACAGTAATTCCTTGGGGACCTCAGAGTTAAATCCTTTTCTGTAACACGATCCCATGTAGTGGAGCTGTGATGGAAGTCCATTATTACTGCTAGCTGTTCTTAGAGTTGCTCAAACTGAGAACTGAGAAGCCTTCTGTAGATGATCCTTGCTCTTTTACAACTTCTGTGGCTTTGTAGTTCCATAATAACTGCCCCTGATGGCACAGTGCCCCAAAAATGAATACTTTGATAATTTGCTGCTCTCTTGCACTCCTTGTCACCTCCGGTGTTCCAGTGCACCACCGCCCTCCTGTGAAAGCTACTGTGAGAAGAGTAAGTGGATTTCTGCAATACTCTGTGGCTGTGCTGGGCATCTTCATGTTGTCTCTTACATTCAGGTTTGATGTGTTGGACATTTTACTGTACATGAGTTATTGTTTATGATTAATGTAATGCATCTCTTTTATTTCATAAGGTACCGATTCAAGTGGAATTCTTTGGATTTGTTTGGGCATAGGGTTGATTTTAATATTCACTCTGTTTACCTTAATGGTCCTGTTTAAATGGAAGCACCTAAAGCAACTAAAAGAAAAACTGGAAAACACAGGTGAATAAATTCTTCATCAAATAATTTTAGATCATTGTACATTTTAAATACTCTTAACATGTAAAAACATTGTATATATTCCAGATTCTCATGACTGCCTTTGTTGGATTGTTTGGTCTTTGTTGGATTGTTTGGTATTCCTCAAATAGTCTCCATGAAATTATCATAGTTACTAAGGAATAAATATCCAGATGTGGACTTGCAAAAGCAGCATTTTCTCTTTGTTGGTTCTGGATCCCGTGAGGATTGTGTTGTTGTATATTCATACCTGGCTTACTTGCTTCTGTTTGAGAAATCATTTATGAAAACTTAAAAGGAAAAGACTTTATAAGGGTTTCACCCTCACTGAATGCAAAAGGAATTGTTCCCAGGCAGAGGATACACATTCAATACTATCTTTTAGTTTTATAAGACTTTAAATAATTTTATTTAATATTGTAGTCTGTGAGAAGCATATGTGGCATATTTTGTGAAGGTGAGAAAAGGTTTTTTTTTCCATTTTACAAATACTATATTTGTGAGTTTTCAGACAATAAATAATAACTGATTAAAAAACGTGTTGAATTACTTCAATGCTTATTCTGAAGTAGAGGGTTGTATTTCATACAACAAAAGATGATCATATGTAGCTACATTTTAAAACTTTCACTATACCTTAACATTTTCACTGAGGTTAGAACATAGTTGTACCATAATGAGATTTGGATCTTTAATAGCTCTTTGTTTAGTATAGCATGATGTATGTACTAAATTAACTTCTGTATATTTACAGACTCCTCTGTGGAGCCGAATAATATTCTCAAGGCTAATACTGAAAGCAGTGTGAATACAGAAGAAATTAGACACACACTTCCAAGTGAAACATTAATGTATTCAGTGGAAGAATGCACTTGCAGTGACTGTGGCTTGGTAAAACCTCAGACTGGCTGTGAAACTTCATTTCCATTACCAGCTACTGAAGAACGAGCTGCTGTTCTAGTTACCACCAAATCTTTTGATTATTATAACTATGTTCTGGGTGTTGGATGACTGGGAGAGAAGTGTATTTGTACTGAGTAATAATAAATGAGTTATTCCAGTATAGCTGTAAACCTTAATACTTGCAGTCAGTGGAGAAGGTAGTACATCATCCTTAGAAATTTCCTAGTGTGCTTGCATTAATATTGTCATATTATTTCTAATTCTAGTATTTAATTAGTCAAGTACTTCTACAGTATTCTCAAGCACTCAACTAGTTATTGGATTTTTTATTTCAGAAAGTCCTTACATAGGACAGCTTTCTCTGCCTTTACAGATTGTACCTACTTACAGCAGATATATACAAAATAAACAAGTTTGCAAATATGTATGTTCATGTTAGACTCGGATCTTGTGCCAAAAATTACTTAATGGTTCACAAGGACTGTTCCAAGAGGCAGAAATTAAGACCTACAGTACATCCCCAGTCTTGAAAAGAGTAATTTCAACACTTGAAATAGAAATGTTCTAAAGACGGATACCCTGTAGAGTGTGGAGGCCCCTGGGTTCAGAAGGTGTCACTGGGTCACCCTAACGGAGGTTGTGGTGCTGGGGAGCACAGATCACAGAGTGTCCTAGACACAATCACACAATGTCCTGAGTCAGAAGTGACCCACATGGGTCACTGAAGTCCAGCTCATGGTCTTTACTGCAATCCCTGCAATCCCATGTATTTCCTGGCAGTACAGGCTTTCCTTTCAGAGCCAAGTGTTTTCAGACTGAGATTTATTTCTTTTTTACTCATTATTTTACTTACCCTTGTTACATTTACAAGGATGGGTAATTAGTCATGCTAGACTACTCTGTGGCCTAAAATTACGAATATATTTCTGTCACCTTGCCTTCCAAGCATTAATGTTACTTTCCTAATATTAGGCCAGTTTTATTCCCAGAAAACTGCAACAACAGAAGCAACAACCACACCAGCAACCACAACAACAATCATCTTTATTTGTAGCTAACATTCTACTTCAAGTTCCTGCACGGATGACTACGAATTGAAGTATTTCATTGCATGAAATCTACAACTGACCTGCTACAGCATCTTTAGGAGGCTGACACAAAGTTTGGGGCAAGTTGGGAGTCAGGCGTTCTGTGTGGCTTTGGCCACACAGGACCAAAACCTCTCAAATAGGCCTAGAGACTTATGACATTTATTATTACCATTTTTTTATTTAACGAGCCTTTCCGAGCTTCCACCCTGCACAGCACATGCGGCAGCAGAGACACCTTATCTCCACTTTTCTCACCCTTCCTTTCGCGGTGTCGCGCTGCTGCCCCGCAGGGGTCGGGCGGCTCCGGAGCCGGGGCGCGCTGAGGGCGCGGGGCCGCGCTGAGGAGCCCCGAGCCGGGAAGCGCTCCGCGGCGCTCCCGAGGCCGTGTTTACCTTCCGGGGCGCCGGGCGGGTTCCGGGGCGGGCGGTGGCTGCCGGCCCGGCCGTGGCTGTGCGGGAGAGCGGCGGCTCCGGCGGACGGAGCCCCGCGGGCACCATGAGCGGTGAGTGCGGCCTGGCCGGCCCCTCCGCCCCGGGCCCGCCGGGCGCTGTGGGGGCTGGCGCGGGCAGAGTGTGCCGGGGGGCCCGGGCGGGAGCGGTGCTGCCTTCGCTCCCCTCCGCTGCTCCCTCGTGCCTTGCTTAGGAACGGAACACTTGGGTCTCTTATCTCCACACCCCGTTCCTCGTTCCGGCTCCCCGAGCTCCCCCGAAGTGGTGTCTTACCCCGTTTTAAATCCAAAGTCCTTGCCCTTGAGCGTGACACTGGCTCACAGCAAAACTGATGCTGGGCTCGGGCATCTGTGTTGCCTCAGCTGTTGCAAACTCATAGGAAATACTCCTGAGGAAATAAATGACCAAGAGAAAATAGGAGTTTAAGAAAACTAAAAATACGAGCTCAGGAGCATGCCGTCGGTGGGAGAGGTGAGAAGCACGGCTTGTGGAGAAAGGGCCTGTTGCTGTGTCCCTGTCTGAGTCCCGGTGAGGGTGACTCTGGATGTGGTAATTTCTGTGGTAGAGGGGAGTGGTGCGGGGGTGTGATGAATCTTGAGGGTTAATGTGTGCTAAATCCTGAGCTTTCTGAGGTGTTTGTCAAGGAAATACTTGAAGCTTTGCATGAGAATTATGACCCATAAACTACAGGACTGGAGAAAGCAGATCCACTTGAACAGGCCAGCATGGAGAGTTATTTATTAGGATAGAGGTGAAAATTCTAATAGACTTTTCTTGTAGAAGTAAAGGATAAGTGGTATTATTTAATACATATTAAACACATTGGCAAGGATTTGTTTGGGGCTTTTTGAGAAGGGAGGTGCTTTAGTGAAAACTGACGGGTCTCTTTGTACATCTTCAGCAATGGAAATTGCAGACAACACTCTGCACCTGAGGATTGGATCACGCATTGATCTCCACCCTGATCTAACACATGGTGATCTTTGTTGCCAAAGGCAGTAAGAAAAAAACTGAGGAGTTAACTGGAGTCACTAAATGCTACATGTTTTGTGGGGAGCAGATATTTCTGAAAGTGAACTGAAAATTAAAACCGCTTCGCTTGTATTTTTCTCTGTTTTGTTCTCACCTTTATGGTAGGAAGAAAATAGAAGATTTTTGTGGAAGGGATGAGGCAAAAAAAAGATTATAAGGGGGAACCCGCTTGTGAAAAATGCGAGTAGCAGTGAAATCTTTCAAGGCGTGGGAAAAGAAGTTTCTCAAATGTTTCAGATATTGACACAATATAGACTAAATCCTAATGACAAAATTTGTGAGAGTCATCATTTTCATATGGAAAACCTCAGCCCTTCAAATTTAAACTGGGAATAGTCTTGTTTAAATTTATGCAAATTAGAGCCTAAATCTTCCTAGGAGACTAATCTTTGAGAGCTCTACTTGGATTCTGTGACTCAAAAGGCAAGGTAACACCTCATGTGGCCTAAAGCTTCATCGTGTAGTTATTTTTGTTACCTTTAATATATTTTTTAAGACAGTGAAGAGATACATGTTTATGAGAAAAGAAACATTTAACTACTTCAAACAGAGTAATGCCTAGGGTGAAATTAACGGTAGTGGTTCAGTTGCATAGTAACCACTCATGTATAGCCCCTGCCAAGAATTACAGGGTTTTCCCAACAATTTCACTTAGACAGCCAGATAACAAAAAACCCCCTAATGTTGCACTTTGACAAATGTTACTGTTACACAATGCTGTACAGTATTTTTCTAGAATAATATAAGTCAAACTGATCAGAACAGAGAAATATCTGTCATTATCATGCTTGTTTCAGGTAAAGGAGATGGCTGATGTTAACATCTCATCAGTTTTAACCATATCCTTCTTTTAGTGCCTGTAACAGCACTGCCTGTACTATTTCTATGCACAGTTTTAGCCCTTTTAACTAACAGAGGTGTTCCTAAAATATAGATAGAAGAACTTCTTAATGGCTATAATTATGGTTAATGTTTATTTTCTTTAGCTACAGTGTATTTCTAGTGGATGTGAAGGTAAATTACTGTTGATGTAAGCCTCACCTTAATATTACTAATACTGCTTACTAATTACATACTTGTATTTTATTCTACAGTGCTGAGTAGGCTAAACTTTAAAGGCAAATAATACAAGGATACAAGATTTATGTGCTTGTCAAGAGTTGGGGGTGTTGTCATTTGTTTAATGACAGTTTCAAAAAACTTAAAAATACAACTCGTGATGGGGGGAGTAGAGCAGTAGAATCATAATAATGTAGGATAAGGTAGCATTTAAATTAGGTCTGTGTTTGTTTTATTTTAAATTAACAATAAAATAAATTCAATTAATTAATTTATTTTCTTGTGCTATCAGAACCTGCGTTAGCGTGAAAAAAAGGGATTGCAGTCTGAAATGTTGCATTAAGGACATAAATGGAAGTTATATAAGAGCAATATGAGATTTATTTATTTTACTTCTATGCTGCATATGGTGCTGGAGAGGGCTTGACCTAGGAAGAACTGGATGTAAATCTTGCTTTCCTTTACTTATACACCAGTTTGCTGCTGCTGTAGGTGTGGATGTTTGTGTCAGAGCATGGAGAGAAGTTGGTTTTAAAAATCGGAAAGCATGACCTTGAACAACAGAAAATGAAGAGGGTCAGTACCTGAGGGTGCAGAGAGTCAGAAGAGGGTGCAGTACCTGAGCCTATTTTAAACCCTTTTTGACTGAGAAGATGTTGGTGGGAGTAGTCTCCTTAAGTTTCTTAGTTTTTCAACCTTATACTTACGTTTTCACAATTATTTTTAGAGTCCTGTATGAACTTCCTTTTTTATTGCAATTGTCTAAATACAGCCTTTTTCTGAGTAAGGCTGTTTTTATGCATTCTGTGTTTTGTATTTGTGTAGCTGCAGTTTTTACTGCTATTCTGAATCAGGAGACGGGTATTTTAGTCAGTTTGTAATATACTGTTAGTCTTTAAACCAGCTGGAGTTGATCACACTTAATTGGTGCTCTTGTCTGAAAATATGCTTTTTTTTTTCTGAAGACTTAGTTTAGAAAATGAAAATGTGGAAGAATAAATCTTCAATAGAGTTAGCTGAGATGTATTTTTACCTTCCACCTACTGAAAACAAAACCATCACTAAATACTACCATATTTTCTAGGCTTGTTACAAAGAAAAATATACTCTCAGTATGAAAAGAGATACAACTTAATCTTTCAGTTTTTAAAAAAAAAATAGACTTAGTGAGTATTCTTTTTCTTCTACCTGTAAAATTTCTGTTAAGCAAAGGAATTTAGGATGTGCATTGAAGAGAAACCTCAGCTAAGCCCTCAGCAGACACATTACATGGCTTTATAGCCCTGTTGATGGTGAGGGTGATCTGAGCTGCTTCAGGAATTATTGGTTGTCATCTCCTGCAGTCATGATTGCTAGTAGTGCAAATTTACAAGTAAAATAAAGAGAAAATACACATTGCACTCAGTCTGTGTAAAGTTAAGGTTGTTTGGTATCACATGCTTTAGTAGTTTAGAACATTAATTAGCATAGTGAACATCTGTAGGTATTCTGTATGTATGCATTTTTTATATTGATCACAGTTTGTAATCTAGTTGCAAACCATTTCTGTTACCAAATAGATACAAAGAGTCCAAAGCGAGGGGAATTTAAAAACTAACATGCATTTGGAAGAAAAGCTTGGCGCACCTCCTAATAGTTTCATTTGATAGATGTTTTTCTGGTCATGAAATTACTAATTACATGCATTTGTTCTGATGTTGTCTCAAGCTATTAATATAAAGAGAAATATTGTGTTATGCCTTTTCTTGCAGATATGTGGGTAGTGTAAGACTAAGAGTAATGAGTTCTGAAACAACAGAGGAAATCTGCAGACCTGTGTATATTCAGTGTTACTGAACATGAGAGGTTGCTCTGAAAGTTGAGATTGTTTTCCATTTATTTATTATAAAACAAATGGATATATAGGCATGTATATATTTCCATTTTGGCAATGTATGCCAAAAGTAAGAACATTGAATATTGTTTAATAAATTGTAATCTCTGAAGGAGCACAAAGTGGAATGGTAGGGATGATATGAATTTAGCTTTATCTTTACACTGGCATAGCTGTTAGGAAGTTAAAACCCATTTGTTGTGGGGTTTGAACATGGAGTCCTGGACTGGCACTGAACATTGTTTGTGTTCTGGAGTGCTTGACTAACAGCCCCAGACCTCACACATCACATGTCTGCACAGTTTGAGTCAGAGTTCAAAACGGGAAGCACAACTTCTTGAAAATGCCCTGTAATCAGCAAAATCAGCTTTGAGAAGCTTGCTTAGCAGCTATGTTTGCATGTTTGTCCTGTTGTTTTCATTATTCTGGCATACTGTGGGGGGGGGGGGGTTTTCTTCTGTTTAGTGACTATATGAAATATGAATTCTATTAATATACTTATAGATTAAGATGAATATATACAATACATTATATCAGTATAATGTATATTTATATGTTATATGAGTATACATATTTAAAGGCAGAATCATTTCAACAAATTCTGTTGTGTCCTGCTGGTTTAAAAGCTTTTTGAATGGGATTATGAAGTTAGGAAATTCTGGGTTTTGGACCTCACACTGTTGGAGAGCAAGAGGAAGCACACATCTTTGGTGTCATCTCTGTTTGCTAGTGTGTGCTGTTTGATTTTCAGTGTTGGGTGGAATTTGCTCCTGCAGAGTTTGGATAATTGGCTTTCAGTCTATATGTATATTGGTTGTCTGTTCTTTGAGAGAGAAAGGAGAATAGAATGACTTAAACTCCAGAGAGGTCACAGAGGTTTCTGATGGATGTTTTGAACTTAAGCTGAGAATAAAGAAATTACAGAGGAAATGAAAGTTATCTTAAAGAATAAATTTTACCATATTCATGGGAGTTTATAAAGGATTTTCCAACAACCAAAGTATTGTATTATTGTTAAAATAGCTTGAGAAGTTAAAGATTGTCTTGCATAGTTCCTTTTATAGTAACAAAATAGATTTTACAGGTGTTAATCAGAAGAACTATGGTAGTTAAATTTTCAGGGATTTACTGTAGCAGTTGCTCTCTGTTCACCTGACTTAAAGCTCTTTCTGCAGTAAGGTTTGACAGTAAGAAGATACTCCTGATGTCTCATTCTTGTTTTCCACTCTTTTCTACTGCTGTGATGCTGTACTACACTGGTAGTTGTGCTAGGAAGCTCAGGACAAGCTGTGCATCAGCTTGAATAATTATTCTGTATTTGGTACTGGTGAAATATATTTTCAAAATGTTACTAAAATAAGAATCAAGATGATATTTGAAACAGTATTGCTGTCTGATAGAGAAAGGCTGCTTGAAACCTCAGAGCATAGTTTATACTGCATCATTTTACTTAGAGAAAATACATTAGTTAATTTAGTGGAATAATTGGCATGGGAAGAAAGTTTTCAGGGCCCAAAAGAAAGACCTTTCTGTTGGCCCAAATGTATTTTAAAAAACAGTTTCTTTTAAAATGATATGATTTTGTTGGATTTCAGGTTCACAGACCAACGACACTAAAAGACAATTTCTTCTAGAACGGCTATTGGATGCAGTTAAACAGGTGAGAAGTCCAACAGACATTTCTGCAGTGGCTTACTCAGAGTTACTAGCAGGGACTGTCTTTGGTTTCTCTTTAACAAAGAGAAGGAAAAAAGAAGAAAAGGAAATGAAGAAGTTGTGGCTTTCATAGTAAAAGAGTTTTTGTCTGCTAGCAATATATACTATACAGTATATATGAGGAATATATGTTCTTGTAATCCTGATAGGACTGAACTAAACTGCAGTGTACTGCAAAGTCTAACTTAGTTAACATTTTAGAGTAGCAGCTTGTTTTCTTTGCACTGGATTTTTAGTGAATGGTTAAAGTATATGTAAAGATGTGATTTATATATGTATGTCTATATTTGTGTCAACGTGAAGTTCAACAAGTAGGATTTCATAGACTGGAGTCAATTTGGGAGAGCTTGGGAGGCAAAAGAATTCCTCAGAAGTAAGCCAGTGAAATGCTTTTTAAAGAGTGGTTCTGTAATTGTAGCACTGAACTGGGTAGGAGCAGTGTTTGGTTTTGTGGGTGCACATTTAAAACTCAAAAGTAGTAATTTCCACTCAGTTTTCAATTTACTGAAGGACCTGCAGGTGTGTTGCTCTGGCTAGCAAGGATCTATTTGACCTGCAAGAGCAGCTCATTAGTGTAACATGATGCTCTAGAGCACTTTTTGGATGCAGGCTGTATTTTGCAATGCTCTATTTTGTGCTGCTTCATTTTTGATATGACTTTGTTTCATATGTAGAAATAGTTCAGAAAACTGAATTTATTTAGTGTAACAAAAAGTTCTTAAAATTTCTTAAAATCTGTTTATTGCAGTGTCAAATACGATTTGGAGGAAGAAAAGAAATTGCTTCAGACTCAGATAGCAGGTAAAATAGTCTAAGAATAACATGCTTAGATTTTGCATCATAATGACATAAAACATATGGCACAAAATATTTAACATGCTCAAAAAATTACATTGCATGAAAAGTAGGTGATCTGAAGCTGAAATAACATGATTAACACCCCCTCTAGCAGGTGAGGGTGATTTCTCAAATTGATTGCCAGTTCTTCTGCGTGTAACCTGAGCCTCAACTTTCAATTGCTATGATGAGACTGTGCGTATAAGTAGATTATACTGCTTGGCAAATAATGAGATTACTGCATAGGAGGGATCTTCCACTGCTTAAAAGATAATGGTTCACTTTACATTTCCTATTCTGAGATCCTATTCTGAGTTGCTGTATAGAAACACAGTTGATTTTCACTATGATTTTTTAATAGTTCCTTTTACATGAGTTCATTAAAAATTTTGTTGCAGAGTGACCTGTTTGTGTGCTCAGTTTGAAGCTGTGTTCCAGCATGGCCTGAGGAGGAGCCGGGGATTGGCACTGACAGCAGCAGCAATCAAACAGGCAGCAGGTTTCTCCAGCAAAACTGAAACAGGTAGGTTGCTGATTGTGGCTACCCTGTTTTAATTAGTTCTTATGTTCAGTCTAGTGATATAATTTCTAAAAGAAGTTTGAAGCATTGCACCAAACTGCAGATTGTTGGTAGGATACTTTATACTTGATGTGTTGTAGAAGTAGCAGTGAAAATGACTGTTGCTTCTTAGTCTAGTTTAACTTGCATTCCCAGTTTCTCTAGAAATGTTGCTGTTTGGAAATTTGCACTTCCTACTGTTGCATCATGTATAGTGGCAAATTTATTTTGAATTCTGGCAGGGATCAGGGTTGTGTAATTGTGCTGTTAAGTTTTTAAAACATTTTCATTCTTTACATTGTCTACTCAGTTCTTAAATGCCGTATTCTGTATAGGTTAGATATGTTTAACTTCTAATTATTGATGCAATTTTAGAAAGAAAAATTATATTGCTTATATTGGTTGGGTTGGTTTTTATTACTTTCTCTACATTCAAAGAAAAGATTCCTTTATTTTTCTCTTCACCATGATGTTTCTCTTTTCTTTAATCAGAACTATATTAAGATACTGATCAGTTTTTATCAATATTTGGGAAAAGTACACAGAAAGTGGTTTTAATGGAAAGAGATATTTTTGCTGTTTAAATGCAACATTTCTGTTTTCTAAAGTAACATAAATTTGTAATTTACATGTCTACAAATTCTGGAGCTACCTGTTCCTTTGGACCTGCCTTCCAACATTTCACATCAGCACTAACATAGCGTTCTAAAGAAATCTTTTCCCTTCCATAATATGTTTCTAGTTGAACATATGAACTTGTGGATAAAATACTAGCTTAAATCTGCTTTAAAATGTGAATTCTATGTAAAAGTGTCAGATCAAATCCTTTCATTTGTGTGGCTTTTTCAATGAAGTGAAAAGTTCTAAGTGCTTCAATAGCTCGAGTTCTGTAGAAATAAATAACTTATTTAACTGGTGGGTTGCAGGAGGAGAGTAAATGATTCACATTTGTTCAAAGTTCTATTGTTACCTGTTTGTTTATGAATCACATGTAAGTGTATTCAGGTATGAGCTTAGTGGTTTTCTTGGTAGGGTGGTTGTCATTATTGTTATTATTAATCATTAAATTCCAGAGCCGGTGTTCTGGTATTATGTGAAAGAAGTGCTGAACAGACACGAGCTGCAGCGCTTCTACTCTCTGAAGGCCATCACTACAGACATTGGCAGAGGCCGGGCTTGGCTGCGCTGTGCTTTGAATGAGCATTCCCTGGAAAGATATGTTCATATGCTGCTTGCAGATAAGAGCCGCCTCAGGTACTGTATCTGATCCCTTTGTAATGCAGGAAGTGTGCTGGCAATGTCTGAAACCCCAGGCAACCAACCAAAAGCAACAGCTGTAGTAGTACCCCATGTCAATTTGGGGTATATATTGAGGTTATGCCTGTCAAGTCACTTAAAATAAATTTTTAAAATTTTTGTCAGCCATTAAAGTAGTGGCTTGTGCCTATATCAACATGTGACCTCTTCCCTAAATCCCTTCCCTGTTCTTTCAGCAGTTTTCCTCACTGAAACCTGGACACCATGCTTTAAGGTGCCTCTCTCATTCCACTAAAATAGTACAAAATTGCAGCCGTGTCTGATCTCAGTTCATGAGTGGTAATTGCCTGTTGCCTTTTGGAGATCCTGTAATTGCAGAGCTCCAGCAGTGGGGAGCTGCAGCTGCACATCACTGGGAAGTGGTTAGGTAGCAGTTAGTGAACCTTTTGTTACAGTTACGGAGAATAACTCACTGCATGTTGTGAAATCCTGAAGTACTTTGGAAGTGCAAAATGCACTTAAGTTCATAAGCTGAGTCTTGCCTTTTTCTCATGGCTTTTACTTCTTTTCTGTATGAAAACTTGAGGCATTTTCCTTTTTTAATCAATAACTGTTGAGCTTGATCAAGTCCAGTGGATTCAGCAGAAAGGCATTTTATTAATTTGCATAGATTAATGGAACTAGTGGATAAGATTATTGCCCAAGCTGAGTTCATTAGTACCTCCTTTTCATTTCTAGTTTGTTCTGGTCATCTGTAGCTTTCTTGCAAAACAGATTTTGGAGAAATGAAATAAAGACAAATGAAATAAAGAAAAAGGTCTGAAAACCATTAGGAAATTAGTGACTTGGATTTCTGTGTCACTAATTATTCTCATCCTTGTAGCAATACTTGCACAGTATCAGGATTATCAGCACACTGCATTGTAATGCTGCTTCTAAAAGGGTTTATTCCAGAATTTTTAAGACTTAAATGTTAGTTGAATTCCAATGGGATTTACAGAATCAGTTTACATCCCCAATTATATGTTTTGGAAACTTTTAAATGAGTCTGTCAGAGTTGTTTAATATATAGATTGAGGGTTTTCTTGCTATCTGTTTTGTTGTTTAATTAACTGAGTGTTGATAGTAAAAATACAGCATTTTGCTACTAGAAAGAACCAGGCTTAGCACAGCTAAATTTATGTGTTCACAGTGAAAAAATGTGGGTTTTTTACATCCAAACTCATAGTTCACCTTAACTATTTAGGGCAATTGGTATGGGTTTGGATACTGAAACAGGTCACAGAACAACAGACTAGTAGGACTTGGATTAGAAAGGACCCTTAAAGATTGTATAATCCACCTCTCCTGCCATGGGGAGGGACCCCTTCCACCAGAGCAGGTTGCTCAAGATAAAAGGAACATTTTTGTTTTGTTTGTGTTCATCTGTTCTAAGCTTATACAAAACATGTTTAGCAATAGGTATAGAGAGATGCTGTGATTGTTAATGCAGCGTAAACCCCCAGACCGTGAGTGGCTTTTTTTCCCCTAAAAAAGTGCAGAGCTAAAACTAAAGAAAAAATACTCTTTAACATGTCTTTCTAGAACCATCTGAACAGTTATCAATTTCAGAACTACAGGGAGTTACTGTGACATAAAATTTCATCCTTTGGGGTGCTCCTACTTATTCTTCAGATTTTTTTTGTCTTTCAGAAGTGAAGTATATATTACTATAGCACTGCATGTCCTTCTTTTCCCCTTTAAATTACAGTGTCTTCTATGAAGACTGGTCTTTTATGATGGATGAAGAACGTTCTAGCATGATCCCTACGATGGCAGCTGGTAAGGCTTTCTCTTCAGTATAATTGCTCTTGGAAAACTACTGCATTTTGGGATGTTGTATCTGTTTCTGCTTGTGAGGAGTTTCTCTAATACACTCTGTTTATGTGGAGAACCTGTGTCGGAGGCACAGCCAGGGTATTATGTCAGTTTATGCTATGAATTGATGGATTGTTAAAATCCTGGATCTGGCCTTCCTACAATTCAAAAATTTTCCACATAAATTTTTCAACTCTTCAACAGTCAAGGCTAACTTAAAACTAGTGCAATTTAGAGAAGCAAAGTGGGTTATTCCTGACTAGAAAAGAGTAATGATAGAATTTTATAGTAAGATCAAAATTGCAGGTAAATACAGATAAGGAAAGTAAGAGTAAGGAATGATAGCAAATAATTTACTTTTCTGGAGTTCATCTACAGAAGTGATGTATTATTACCTTTTATATCCCTTTTTTCAGATACATGGTCACATGCTTCATTTTCAAGACAAGGTTCCTGGGCATTTTTGCTAATAGAATATAGGAACCAACAAATAGTGAAGTTGCAGTGAAATGGGTTTAAATAAAAGGTTATAAATAAATGAGTTCTCAGCACTTTTTGATTATTTACTGTGCAGCTGAACAGCCATCAAGAAGAATTCAGAACTGGTTGCATCAGCTTGAATATAATCTAGAAAAGAATGAATGGTACATGAAAGAATAAGGATTCATGCATTGGGAACTGTGGGAAATTTTTGGGAAAAATGTTTTCCCTGTCACAGTTTGATTAATCCTTAGCTTCTATGTACATAATTTGCATGTGAAGTATATGGTGCATTTCTGATCTCTTTTTCCCCTTTCTTTTTTCTGAAGGTCTGAACTCCATTCTTTTTGCTATCAACATTGATAACAAGGATTTAAATGGGCAGAGCAAATGCACACCCACTGTGTCAGATTTGTTGAAGGAATCCACACAAAATGTAACTTCCTTATTGAAGGAGTCCACTCAGGGTGTCAGCAGCCTCCTGCGGGAGATCACTGCCTCGTCTGCGGTCTCCATTCTCATAAAACCTGACCAGGACTCTGACCCCCTGCCTGTTCTGCCCAGGAATGTAAATGCTGGTAAGTTTTATGAATGTTAGTGCCATTCAGAAACTTAGGAAATATTTGAGTGTGCTTAAATAACTTTTTAATTTACTTTTAATGTACTTTTATTGTAGAGCAGAAGTCTTAAAAATAAGTGCACTATGCATACAAACCAGTTGAGTGTGTAATTAAAAAGCATGGAATTGGAAATATTGGGTGTGAATACTGGATGGTAACTGTGTATTTTGGCATTCTCATATCTCTGTGACAGGGAGGCTAAACTGTTTTTTTGGTAGTGCTTTGCTTGTGACCTGAATTTCTTGTTGATAAAATTGAAAGTTCATAAAATTGAAAGTTAATGGAAACTTTGAAGTTTGTGATGTAATGATTTTTCATTTTTAATGTTGTCTTTTGCCATCTTGCCAGTCAGACATACAGTGACTTATATAATTTGTTATATATCAGATTCAAATCTTAGCTTGTAATCTGCTTTGAGTAGTGACTGTGTTTACAGTCTGAATTCCTATGCAAAGCAGATAATTGCCAAAATGAACATTTACTCATACACTCTTGACCTTTTGAGTTCTTAGTATTACAACCCGCTTTTATGATGTTAGTTACTAGCAAAGAATCAAAGTCTTAATCTCTTATTATTTGAAATCAGTCAAGGAAAATGTGATTTTCGTTATATATTTTTTGTTCCAAAATTAACAAAGTAATACTTTATTATCTTGGTTTCTGGAAGTTGAGCTAAAAGTTTGTTTTGCTTTGTAAAAGTACAAAACAGCAGGAAGATTTTTGTGCTTTTCAATTAAGAAACAAGGTTTGAGTTTAGGCAATAAATTGTTTTGGTTATGAGAAAAAAGCACAAACTTCACATGAGAATCTGGTAGGAACAGAAGTTGAGATAAAATCTGATTTTTATTGGCATTCAAAATAGACTTTGTCTTAAAACACGGTTTTTAGAACAAACTTGGGGTAAAGCTTTTGTTGTATAGCACTTAAATGAGATTAAAATTGTAGGCGATATTTGACCTGGGGTAACTTTGTTAGTATAGAATAGTCTTGCAAGATGAAAGACAGTAATTGACCATATGGTGCATATGACTCCACAACATGATGTACCTGATGTGTACAGCACATGTGTATACAGAACATGAAATGTCACTTAAAAAAAATTGAGTTTGTTCAAATGCAATTATATGTGGAACATTAGAGCAAGTCAGATGTTTCCATTGAAGTCTGTGTTCTTTGTTGTAATTCTATTTGCAACCAGAATGGGTTTTAACATCCTTTTAAAAGTATGTTAGTGTGCTTTGTGGATATATAACAGCTGGACTTGAATTAAACCAAGCAGTTTGGTCCCAGTGTGAGGTGTCTTGGTGAGTGATTTCTGATATTTCTTGGAGTGCTTCAGCTTTGCATTTGGCTTCACGTGCACATCAGATTCAATGAGAACAGGTAAAAGTGTAAAAATAAGTGCTGTCACTGAATACATCTGGTGTATTCAGAGAGAATTTCAGTGTATTTCTAGGCCAAGAGCTAATTAGCTGAAAGCTGACTATTCAATTTTTAGAGTATAGACAAAACTATTTGATTGCAGGTTGTGGATTTTGTTTGTGTTGTGAGTTTGTTCTTTTCAGTTTTTCGTCTGAAAGTTTTCTTCATGTTTTCTCTGTTGTGTAGGCCTGCTCTGCATTATATGCTAGGTGTAGTCCATAGGAGGAAGTGACAGGAAGGCTAACTTATTATTTTAAATTTAATTTCATGGGTTTGTAGAACTTTTTTTCCCAGTTTCAATTGAATCATGTTATGAATGCATCTCCAGAATATCTCTTAAAATCTGAATTATGTAAGACTTATAAAATTAAGCTGGTAATTAGAGATTTAGAAGCTCATGTGTATGGAAAGATAATGAATGCCATGTAGATCTAAGTGATTTTTTTCTTGATTAGAGTAAGTTAGTACATGAGCTCTTTTAAGAAAAAAACAGGTTTCATATATTATTCCTCTTTTCTAAACTGTGTAAAAACTTTGTATTACTACTAGATTTGAAATACAAAAAAGATCGAAAAAAGAAGAAGAGGGTGACTAATATTATCTCATTTGATGAAGAGGAAGATGAGCAAAACTTGGGGGATTGTACAAAGACTCTGATTACAGGAGAAAGTTCAGAGGAGAGTGTAGACAGATCTTCAGTTCTGGCATTGTCTTCATCTGAAAGCACTCTGGGAAAAAATCTGAATGGGAGTGAAAGTAACCATTCGTGGAAGAACAATTCAGTATTCATGAATGGAGAGTATGAATACCAGAAACTGGATGTGAAGAGCATTGATGATGAAGATGCAGATGAGGATGAGCTGTATGGAAAATCATTGGGAAATAAAGGCACAGAAGGTGGAACTGAAGCTTCTGAAAAGTAAGCTTGCAGTATTGGTGCAGGAGATAGTGGTAAAATTTCCCTGCTTCCCCTCCACGACTCCCCTTCTTTTATGGGTACAGCAAATTCTTTTTTTTTCCCTCTGCCTATTCCTCCTCCCCCACCTTTTTTTTTCCTCTTTTTTTTTTCTTTTTTTTTTTTTTTCTTTTTTTTTTTTTTTTTCATTTTTTTTCCTTTTTACTGTTTAAACAATATGGGCCACTGCAGTGATGATATTTTGCTTCTAAGTTTCACTGAAACCCCAAATTTTGAGATATCAGACTTCTTGTTCTCCTTGAAGTTCTCACTTTTTAAAACTGTGGCATGATATAGCCAGGATATAGTTCTGGCCTACTTGATGTGTCCTTATTCTTAGTATGCTAACAATTCTATTTTGGCTTCACAATAAAAATGTGTATTTTAAACAGAGTAAGCTTGTTACATCAGAGTGTAGACAGTTCAACAAGGCAGGACAAAACTGAGAGAGAAAGAATAATTTTAGAAACTGATATGCTTTCTTTATTTCTGACAGAAATTCGTTTAGAGGAAAAGGCAAGCACTGCTTGTCTCATCTGCTTTGGAATGTCTGGTCTTTAATGAATTAATGTATGGCTGACCAAGAAATTGGCAGGCAGATTGAAATAAAGATTTTTCTTGCAATGGTATCTCTGAAAGAAATATCAGCATTATGAACAGTAATACTGGCTGTATAAATAGATTGGTTTGTTTGTTTGTTTGTTCTAAATAGGCCTCGTGAAATAGTCACATGCAATTCTCAGATATGCAGTTGGAGTCCTCTGCAGGTCCTGAATGATGACTCAGATGTTCTATTTCCTGTCAGTGCTGTTGGCTCTTACTCCCAAACAGGTGGGCATTTGAATTCACAGAATTCCAGCAACCTTTATTCTAACATGGGACAATGGTAAGGAATAATAGGATTGTACAGACACAGCAGGTGCTGCACAATTGGGACAAAAAGTTCAAATTTATTCTAGTTCTGAATCAGAGTTCTCCATTTGAGTAGTTACTTAGTTAAGAGGGAGTTATCAATGTCAAAATAAACCAGAGTTTCATTGGGATTAATCTGTGGTCTTTTATTTTATTGAAGTTCAGGATAGTAAATTGTTAGTAACTAGTAGTAACTGTTAATTGTTGAAATACAGGATGAGGAATGATTGACTAGGAAATACTTGCTCAGAAAAGGATATGGGAATTGCAGAATGGTTTGGGTTGGAAGAGATCTGCAGAGATCGTTTATTCTAAGACTGGCTTTCTGAGCTGTGAGCGCCAGTTGCCAGCTCACATCTAATTTTTCACGTGCCAGTATCCTCAAATCATTTTCTGCAGGTTACAAGCTGATAGTGAATTAACAGAGCTGTGCATAAATGAGAATGTCATTTGTAAAGGTAGGCTCCATTGGCTCTGCTGGGGCCTCAGCTGCAGCATTGTATGCAGTGAGGGACACTTCAAGAATGATGTGGACCATTTGAAGCAAGCAATAAAAATTGTTAAAGGAATGGCAAAGAAGGCCTGGTGCTTTTACAGTATCTGTATTAGTACCAAAAACAAACAAAAAAGTCCACCAGCCCTCCCCTTCATCCTGTTGATATTTTTCTAGCTGTTCATAAAATACTGAATTTTGGATATACTAATTTCAGTGATTATTTAAAAACTTGTCAGTGGTATTCAAATAATGTTTTAATTGCAGTATATTTCATATTTTTTGCATACACATTATCTGTCCAAGAGTTTAAATGGATTGTTGATTGAAGGCCTGTGAAAAAGTGTAATTCAGTTGTGTAAGTTCAGTGACAAAAATGTGAATCATAAAATAATGTTGCACTGCCCTCTGCTGTACTTTAAAATATATACCTCATAAGAAGTGCCGGTGGTTAAAAAAAATAATTTTTTTTCTTGCTGCCACATTTTTCAGTTTACAAAGGAGTGGATTTAGAAAATATTTAGAAGTTTGTGGCGTTGTGATCTCTTAAATACAAAACAGAATTGTTGGGGAGTAGCCACAGGTTGAAATCTGGAATACAAGAATCCATTCCTGTCTGTGGGGGGTGGTGTGTGAAATGGGAACTCACAGTTGCTGTTAGTCAATGTCAGGAGGCACCAGAAGCATGAGCTGGGGGTTTTCATCTGAAATAAAAAATCAGGAGTGCAAGCCAAGACTTAGTTCTGGAGGCAGATGACCAAAGAGGATGTCTGTAACTGTCTTACTCTTAGTAAGACACCAAAGCCCCTTGCTTTGTGTTGCTTCATCTCAGGACTGTTTTGAATGCAATGCTCAGCCTACTGGAGATGATCAACACGCCCATTCAGATCCCTTCTGGGCACAGGACAGATATTTTCAGTCCTCCTTCTGTCCCTCTCTGTGATCTGTCATGCAAGTGAGAGTGATACAGCATTGGGCTGGTGAAGGGATTGAGTTCATCAGTGCTAGGAAAGCCCCCCAGACCCCACTGTCTGCTCTCCTGGCCTCACCTCTCTGGACAGGAGGAGCTGATGGAGTGTGCAGGGAGAGCTGCACTAAGTGCCCAATGCACAGCCCAGGTGCCAGCCAGTCAGGGACAGGGATATGCACAGATCCAGGCACCCTCTCCTCAGCCACGCTGATAATTTGCTGAGATTGAAAGCTGCCTTAGGCACTTGTTTGTTTGACTTTGTGAGTTGCACTTGTGCTGGCTGAATGATGTCAGAAGGAACATGCATTAGATTATTCTGAGGGCAGTCCAAGCCCACGAACTGGCAAGCTCATTATTATCCTGGTATTTTTTGTTAAAATGTTCTTAATGAGCTCTTGTAAAATACATAGTTTAACCCAATATTTTGATTTATAGGTTTTAATACCAATAAATAACACATACACACATATATTTATATATTTGAAATAGCATAATCTATAGTGTTGTATGTTAATCAGTGTTTTCAGTATTAATCTGTTGCAGTGCTCCAGGGATGTGTCAGGGCATATCATATCTCTGTGTAGCTAGAAATGAGAAAGCCTCCGTCAAAATGCAGTTGCTCGGAACAAAAATGGAGTATGTATTTTAGGAACTGAGCTTCAGTAAACTCTATGGCTTCAAAAATAATTTTTCTCCTCCATAGAATTTCTGACATAGCTTTATTTCCCATTAGTTTATTTTCTAGAATTTCTGCTTTTTAAATCTGTTCTATTTAGGATTGTCTTATAGTGTCTTTATAGCCCTTACATAGTGAGATGCAGCACACATCAATAAAATATGATTTTTGTTTGCTTTCACCTGAGCTTCCTCCATGACAGGCTCAGTCATGTGGATGTTTTGCTGCTGACAGCTGTGGATCTGTGGACAGATGCACATTATTCATGCTTTTTAAACAATATCTCATCTGTCTGATTCCTGATGGTTGGTACAGGGATGTAAGGAGCCACAGAAAAGCCATGGTGCTCTGTTGGGGATACAGAAAGCACTGATGTCTTTGCAAGGTTTCACGTGCTGGAGACTAACCACAAATTCTTCTCCTGCAAGTCACAACCAGACTTGTAGTGAACATGAGATGCTTCAACTCTGGGGGCTTGCCCAAGTAACTTCAGGAAGAAGTCTCCTCATAGCTGTGTAACTTTGTACATATCAAGTATAATTTAGGAATGGTGCAATACTAATTTCTTTATGATGACTGTGGTCCTAAAAGTCTTGACAGTCCTGCTGACATTCAGGGTCAACTTGCGGAAGCCAGCTTTGGATACAGAATTAAAAGTGTTTAAAAGCCATAGTAAGTTGAGTGTTTCTGTTTAAAAAGGTAACTATCTAACTTCTGGATTGATGTTTTTATTGTATTTTTTGAGTAGTGTAACCCAAAGGAAGCTAATGCTTGTGCATTCTACTTCAGATAACTTGGAGAATGGAGAGGGGCATGAACATGCTGTTCATCCCCCGGTAGAACTGGTTCCAAGATCTGATCTTCCTTACAGGTATGTGCCAAATATGTTTGTCCTAAAAGAAAAAAACCTTCACCCTGTAGCTGCCAAGTTCTTGTTAACTAATGCACTTAGTACTGGAAAACCAGCTACTCATCAGGATACTTCTGCATGTGTTTGGAAAGACAAACGCAAAAAAACTACAATTGCCTTTTTTGCCTAGTTTCATACACTGAACTTCCCTAATTATCTTGAGGAAGTCACTCATGTCAAATAGCAGACTTGGCTTCCTGGTTTTGAAAATAGGTTTTATTTGGTTTTTATGTTATTGTTTTGCTATATTCTCCATGGCCTTTTAATTCAGATTTTTTGTGTGTCTGCTTAAGTCAGACTCCCAGGAGATACATTAAAGGATTGTTCAACATATTTCGATTAAATATGGGTGAATAGGATAACAATTCTAGTTTCTGGAATACTTTTTTCTTAAGTTTTGAATTCAGGATTTTGGTTTCATGTATTGATTTTACTATGCTTTTATGACTAGAGTGGAAGTCAGTCCTCCAGCTCAAGTGAATACTTTAAGCAGTATGTTGCCTTCAGCCACTGTGCCAGAATCCATGACAATTAGTAAGTACTTCCTTGATGTATCTAGACTGATAGAAATAGCTTTGAAAGTCTTGTAACCCCTATTTTTGTTTCACTAAAATCTGCTTAGAGAGTCATGGAGCACTTGATTTCTGATGGGCTGGTCGTGTTAGTAATAGTTGCTCTAAAATGATGCTTGTATTGGCAGGTTGTGCTTCATTGCAGCTGATATATCCTTATATTAAATGTGGCTTCAGTAGTTAAATGAAAAATAATTATTTGATGAACATCTTTAAATTTCTACAAGTTCTGAACACATTGAGGGTTAGTTCAGATGTAGTCTTGCTTATTTGGCCTGTTTTCATTAATGGCTAGTCAGAATCAAACAAACAAACCCCACTCTTTCTGTGGTTTTGATATGAAAATTTGTTCCAAACATAAATGTGGACTTCCACAAAAACTTGAGTTAAGATTAAGGGGGAAGACAGTCATGTTTCAGTGGTATTAAGAGCAGAGCTAGACAGGATAAAATAGTCTTTGCTGCAGAGGTAGATTAATAGAAGCACAGGCAGTTTATCACATATTTGATCTTTTTTCTTTGCATACACTTGTAGAACAAATACTTAGTTCTTAAACGGAATGTCTAAGCTTATAAGCCAGTATGTGTTTATGTTCCTCAGTGTACAGAATGTTCTGTAACTGAACTGGCTTTGTTCCTGAAGCTCTTGGGTGTGTGTTTGTTTCTTCTTATAAATTCAATATGTACAAGTTTTAAATTATGACATTTGGGAAGTTAGAAGTGATGCAGCCAAGATTCTTTTCTGCAGTTGATTCATGCAGTCATCAAAATGAATGAAATCTTAAGATATTCTAGTCTCATTTTCTAAAGTTATGTTTAAATGCTGTATCAAGCTGTGTTAAAGAAGATAAAACAAGTGTTTTCACTGGGTAGTGTTTCAGGCTCTGGCACTGGTCTGCTGACTGAGCTTTACAGAGCTGAAAAATCCTTTCTTGCAAAGTACGAAGTGGCAAACTAGTTTGGGACTTCTAGGAGCCATAATTGAAGTGTGGAATAGACTTACTGTTATTAGCTGCAGTGATACTTTTGCCACTAGATATTCTCTGCTCATGTTATCCCTACAACATCCTTTTGCTCTTATTTACTTCTCAGGGAATTGCACAGGGCAGTTTTCTGGTGCCCCTGCACTCTGTTGATTCTGCTGTTTGTAGGGGTGTCAGGTACCAGCAGGGGCCGCAGTTGGTCTCCTTCAGTTGCTCAGTTATTTCCCAGTGTAGGTAAGAGCTATAAAATAGAAAAAAAATCTGGAGGTTTTCAATTCTCAATACTTAGCAATTTGTAAATGAAATGAAAACACAGGATCAACAGAAGTGTGCACACTATCATTAGTTTCCTAGTTCAGAGAAAGGTTTGGTGAAAGGAAGGGTGGGTAGCATGTCAAACCCATCTATAAAGCCAGTAGAACACGTAGTAAATAATCATAATTATAATTAAAATTCAGCTGACTATACATTTATAGAATTAGTGATTACCTTTATAATAGGTGATCCTGGGTATGTTGAATCAAAATGCTGTTTTCAAGTTTGCTGTTATTGGTTCTAGATTCTCTACAGGAGGAATTCAGTGTTATGACAAAGTCAGGCACGGAAGCTCTTTCTCTCTATTGCAATTAGCAGAAGAATTATTAAATGCTGAGGCTTATAGCTTGGTTGCATAGCAACTGATTCTAACACATCAGGCAAGAAAAATGCAATGCAGTAGTACAGTGAGAAAAGCTGTGAGGTCTCCAGTGACTGGATTTTTGTGTTTCTTACTTTTGAAGACAAATCCTGAAATGGATTTTTAAAAAATTATATTATTTTCCTGATTTTGTTCCAACCTATTAGTATAGTACAAAACTTTTCTTACTTCTTTTGATATGCAGGCTATTAAGTTAGGAGAAGCTGTAATTTCAAATTTCTGCCATTTTAAATTATTTTCCTGAACTATGTCCCATGCATTTGTAAGGTATAGGTTAATTTAGCCACAGATACATCTCAAAAAATACTAATATCACTCAAGAAAAATCCACAGAACTTTGCTATTTATGTCAGGCATAATTTGAAAACTGGCTCTGCTGTGCAGCTTGTTGTGTCATAACCAAGTTTATAAAGAGTTAAGCTGGTCAGAAGTTTTCTATTTATGCATCTACTCTACTATGTAATTTCAGTTTTTAAAAAAATTGTCTTTATCTTATTGTACTTGAATCACAAACAACACTGTTTCAAGAGTTGGTATTGGAAGATTGTATTTTCAGCATTGTTTTTCAGCAGAACAATCTATTCTACTAGCACAAGTCTCTCCATTTTGTTTTTGCAGTGGAAAAAAGAATAAGTTGCAAAACTTTCATTTTTAGAAGGACACTACTTGTGTTCTTCCTTATAAGGTTCTTCTATTATAGTACTATTTTTAGGAAATAATTGGTAATTTAGTTTTTTTGCTATCATTTTTTTCAGTTTTTAAAATTGGGCTTCACCACAAAGGTGAGGAAAGGTTGTAACATTGTACATCATTCCATACTTTTTCATATATTCTTGAGAAATCCCTGAGCTTTTTGTGATCACAGAAGAACTTTACTGAGTAATCAAACCTCCATGTTATATTTTTATCCTGGTTGTGTAAGTGAATAAAGTGTATGTTTTTGTACTTTCTGTGTCCTCTGAATAGCTGCTGACCTGTTCTGTAGCCAAGTTGCCACAGGTCACTGGCAGGTGCTAAATTCTTGTGTTTTCTTTGAAAGCACAGCTGTGAAGGGAGGGTGTTTATATTTCATCAGGGAGGGGAAAGCTGCAGTTTACTTTACAGATTTGGTTTTCACCAGGACTCTTCTTTGCAGTAGAAGGGCAACACAATTTGTTTCCTACTAAAATTTGCCCTGTGAATAGTGACATGACAGGATAATATTTACAAGGTTTTTGAGCACTAAATTAAGCCTTAAAACGCAGTGTTCATGTAGGCAGCTTAGGGAGCATCAAGCTCTTTAAGTCTTTAAAGGTCACACTTCTGATTTAAGATGTAACTAGTCTGCTGGAAGTCTTATTTGTCTCTGAAAATATCTGTGTAAATTTTCACTCATGAAAATAAAAAAAAAAAAAATCCTGTAAACTGCTCCCAGCCCACCCTGATACTCTATCTGCAGGATTGCAGAGGAGGCTGCATGACCTTATGTACTCTGAGGGATGATTTCACTTACAGCTCATTCTTCACAACAGGTGATTGCAAATCATACTGCTCCAATCTTTGGCTAAACAGCACAAGAGTTGTGAAACTTATGAATTTTCTGGAGGTTGCTGGAAACTGGCAGGTGTTTGTCAAAGCATTATATATTTCATGCTCTATGACCCTATGAAAGCTTTCTAGAAGCTAGATTTTGCATGAAGTGTGGAATAGAATTAAAAAATGTTTTAGAGCAAATACTCACTTCATGAGTAATTAGGCACCACAGATTAATTTCAGCAGTAAAAAATATTGCTAGTGTTCGAAAAAATGAGGTTTAATATGAAAAATTCAGTACATTCCTGGATTTTTATATTATGTTTTCTTTTTTTGCTGATAAAGAATGCTTTGGAATTGTTTGTTTGTACACGGGAATTCTTTTTTTAAGAAAATGTTGCAAAACTACCTCTTAGGTAAAACTTCACTAGTTATCTTCTTATCTCTGTCTTTATGGAACTCAGGTTATCACTTCACTTTTAGATATGTTGGTGTTGAATGCTGATCCTTAATAACAGTAATGTATTGCCTTTCATTAATATTACTTTACAGAACATAAGTGTTGTCAAGCACAAAACAGCTCAGAAGTAGGGCATAAAGTCTAATATCAAACACTTTTCTGAAGTAGGAATATTTGGCCATCCTCCCACTGTTGTATTAAAAAAAGAAAAGAAAAAAAAAAAAGAAAAAAAGAAGGGGGGAGAAAGATTGAGGTTGCACAGTTCAGAAGTCAGAAAATGCCAAATTTATGGTTGCTGCTACAACCCTGACATTTTAAAAAATTTATTCCCTTTTCTAACCCACACAATGTATGAGACATAAGACTGCTGGAAAAATTAGGTTATGATCATACGCTCATCTTGGAGGCAAGACAGACAAAAGCTCATGAACTGGGGATGTTCTGGCAGGTTTGAAGGGAACCTGCTGCAGTGTACGATGCTGGATTTCCTTTGCATTCAGCTGACTGCTCTGACATGCTGCTGAAATTTTTCAGGAAGCGTAAGTGAAAATAAGAAATTAAAATTTTTGAAAGTTTTAAATATTATACCTGAATTAAATAGAATGGTTTCCTCTTAGTTCTACTCAGTTCCTTGCTTCAAAAGATCTTGACATTAGGGTTTCTGATTTTTTTTCTTGGTAAATTTTTACTCATTTTATTACACTAATAATGTTTTACTTTTTTGTGTTTACTATGGATAGGCTAAAGAAGTGTTGATTATAAACTGTATATTTCTTGTGTTTGTTTTGAGTAATTTATAGATAATATGACTCCTTAATACTCATCAATTCGAGAAGAAACAGCAGGGCTATAGCCATGGAGCAATCTTGCTGGGCTGGACCAGCCTTCTTGGAATGCTGGTCTCTTATCCCAGACTGGTGGTTTGTGTTGATGCTTTCATCCACACCTCCACTGGTACCTGTAATTGAGCTAAATTAGCTAGAAATACTGAGTATAAAATGTGTTTGCATTTGTGGTCCTAAATTGAGCATCAATTTTTGTCCTATATGTGATAATGAAATTTGGAATTTCTGCTTTATTCTTTCTCTATAGTATTGTCAATTCCATGACTCTTGGAAAAAAGAGGCAAATGGAAATAAATAAGCAATTTAAAGTCTTCTATTTCAAGAGGCTTTTTTTTCTTCCTCTTCTGTGCAAACCATGGTCTTTAGCAGGATCTTGCTTTTGTGCTCTGCTTGTGTGTGTGTGTGGGAGAGGGGAGTGAGAAAAGATGAGATTTCAGGTCTCAATTCATGCAGAAGATTCTGGATGGAATAAGGAAAAGAAGATTAAGTTGTTATGCAAGTTAATACTACAGTTTGAATAGACTGGTAAAATTGAAATAATGAAGCCAATTTATAATAGCTTAGCTGTATAAATGTTAATAAATCAGTACACATTAAAAGATTGAGTACACACAGAGGCAATTGCTGCAGAGTGGGCACCCTGTGCAAGTGCAGAGCCGTGTCTGAGTGGCAACAGCTTTAATTTATTCTGAGTTAGAGACATAACAGCAACTACTTGTTGATCATGCACTATCATACTTTAATGGCACACTTAAAATATTTAAAATGCCATCGGCTTGATGTGTCCTTGAGGAGGATTCTGAATTCAACATTATGGTTCAAGATTGTTATTTTGTTATGGAGTGTTACTGTGCAGAAAGCTTACTGTGGATCCTTTTGCTTGTGTTGTTTATATGTATGATGCTCTAACACTGGATTATTCCATTTTCCTCATCCATAGAGCAGTTGTTTATATCACAGATAGGCTGATGGATTGTGGTCCCTTGTGCTAGTATTTAATACCCAGAAATTTCACTATTTCACTTTTGGTTTTTCTACAAGATTTAGATTATTTTTTTTTAGGGTTGCATAAAATATGCTAAGTTACTGTAGAAAACTAATTATTCTTTCTAAGCTGAATTAATGAAGTGCAAACTCCCTCTAATGACCTACTGAAACGTTTCTTGCTCATGTCATTTAGCTCTTAAAGTGTAATATGGGTATTATGGAATGGGCAGAAAATCATCTACTGATCATCTGCTTTCTCCCTGGCCAAAGACACAGGAATATTTGGTAAAAATTCTGGCTTGTAGAAATTTGGGTTGGCTGATTTCAAATGATATAAGAACTCTGCTGAACCCTGCAGTCCTGCAAGGGTTGGATTTACCTGCAGATTACCAAGGCCAGACTGGAGTCTTGATGTCTGCAGTGCTGACTGTCAACATTTGGTTGACATAATAAAATCTTTTGCATTTTATCCACTACTAGAGTTTGTCAGACTCCATCTGGTCCATAGGAAAATGTTAAATTTTTGTTAAATGGGCAAAAACTTCTGTAACTATAGAAAATATTAAGAAAGTTACAGGTGAAAGATACTGTGTACTGAATGTAAAGGGGAAAAAAATTGTCCAATGGCTTTGCTTGCTTGAAGAAATCAAGTAATACCAATTCTGGTAGTATGTTTTCAGTAAAAGCACACTGAAATTTACTGGCATCTGCACTGAATACTTGCAGAACAGAGTTGGCTGATTTATTACATATAAACATTTCACTTAAATGTTGGGAGGGATGGTTTAGTATAATTGTGTCCTTGTAGCACTCATAAAATTATTGATTAACGTATGTGAAATTGTTAATGAAATTGTTGGAGCTGACACTTTTCTGTATGGTATTTGACTGTTCTGGTATCATGTTAAACCTAACCCAAAGGAAATCTTTAAAAATTCTAAAATTCTGTTGGTTGGTTTTTAAAAAATTTTTATTCTTTATTTAATGACAGAAAGTATTTCTATGGTATTTGTAAAAAAATAGGAAGGATTTTATAGGAAATGATGAGGTTCAGAAGTCTCATAATCTTTAAGGCTGAGCTCGAGAAACAGTGCCATGAGGAAGCAATGACATTATCTCTGCTCCCATCTCCCTGGAGCTGTTATTTCCTGCGTCAGGATTTACAGCCAGGAGAAGCAATTTGGAGAAGCTGAACAAGTAACAGTGTATCTCATTAATAGGCATGTGGTGAAAAGGTGCTTTCTGCCCTACATCTGTGAAAACAAAACAGCTGCAACCACAGGCACACTTGTAAACATTTGTATTAAAGGCAGATGCAGACTAATTTGATTTGATCAATACTTCTGATGTGGTGTTAAATAACAGCGCTTTTGAAAGATTGCTCAAATTAGTGATGAGATTAAGAGCATTTTTATGTGCTTTCCTGAATAGCAAATGGTGTTGGCATCACCTTAAGTGTGCTGCCTGTGTACATGATGAAATGAGCAAAAATGTACACAGACATTAATCCTTTCTGTTTCTTCTTAGATGAACTTCGTCAAGCTATCGTGGCCATGATGAATAGAAAGGATGAACTGGAAGAACAGAATAGGTAGTTTGTGTTTTTTAGTCAAGAGGGACTGTAATTAAAAAAAAAAATCTGTTCTCTAATACAAGCTGTCCTTTCTAAAGCTATGCATAATATTTATGTAACCTTTTTGATGTATGTATTTTTTCTCTGAAAGGTTAACTTAATAATTCACTTTTTACATGTTGGTACTGAAGCATAGTGTTTTGAAGGCAACTTTTTCTTTTCGTTTGAATCAGGTAATTCATTGTACCTTGGGAGCTTTGCAGTTGTAGTTTTTTCAAAACCAAACCTTATAGCCAGGAGATTCTGAAGCTCTGTTAAGATAGCTTTCCAAATGAGCAAAAGTTTCTCCTAATGCAAATATTCAGAAAATGTCTAGTTTTTCCCTTCTGGTGAAGAAGTGATGTAGGATGGCTGACAATGTAAGGCTGAAAGTGACTTTCATTTCTGACTGTCTTGGGGCACAATGATGATGTAAATGTAGAAATGATCAGTTGCTTATATAAAATGCCATCAAACATACTTTGTATTTATTTAGTTTATTGAAACACATAGTTAGATGAATGAAAATACAAATGTATTCAATGCTTTCTTAGGGCTATTATAGTAATTAATATTTTCCTATAGGTATTTTGGGTTTTTTAATGCTGATCTTACCAACGGATCCTATTTTCCTTCTTCCTATTCTTCCCACTCCCATAATTGCAAGTTATGGCCTCATTCAGCTTTGTGGGCTTTTTTTGGCAGAAGGACCAGGATGCTTTGGGTTTTACCATTATGCATCATGCTGACCTTTGCTATCTCATCAAGGGTTTTTACACAGAGGTCTGTGGCAGTGCACTTGGCAGAAACAAGAGCCCTACCTGTCTTGCTATAAGTATATTGCTTATAGATTATTCCCAAGATGTATGGACTTGCACTGAAGTACTGAAAACAGCTTACCAGCTTTTTAGAAAAACAAATTCTTTCTGCATGCTGATACAGTAGATCCCATAATAAGATGTGCTTTGGACTTGTTGACAGAATAATAATACAAATTAATAATAAACATTTGCAACTGCTTTTTCCTTGTAGCTTTTCATATCTTTGTATAATCAAATCAAGTGAATTTATTAAATTCAATAATGAAATTTTTGGATGACATCAGTGGTATCACTCCTCTGTGATTCTTGGAGTGTACTCTAACTAGCAGGTAGTTGCGCAGTGTCATAAAGAGAGGCTGCTGCCTTCTTGCAGGTCCCTGCGAAATCTGCTGGATGCAGAGATGGAGCATTCTGCAGCACTGAGGCAGGAGATGGAGAACTGCAGGAGGAAGGTGGCAGAGCAGGACGAGCGACATGCCACGAAAGTCCAAGCCTTGGCACGGTAAGAAGTACTGAAAATGTCTCAAAAAGGGACTGCAGGGGAACAAAGGAATAACAGTCTGTATAGAAGGGAAATAATTTTCAAGTAGCTAAGTTTGCAGAAGAACAGAAGTGATTTAGGACTAAAAGTCCTATGGTAAGCAATAGCTGTTGCTAAACGTTATCAACAAGCGAGTACCAAGTTCTGCAGTGATGCAGCTGTTTTTCCCACAGCTCCAGGAAGGTCAGCTGGAACAGGTTTCTCAGGACCATTTGCAGTCAGGTTTTGTATATCTGCACAGATGGAGACTCCCCAGTCCCTTTGGGCAGCACTGTTGGCAGTGACTTGTTGGCAGTGCTGTTCCTAGTGGGGTCCAGGCTGCTCCTGGCTTGCTTTGCCATGGGAGGAGGGGTGTTGAAGGCTCGTGCTCAGCTGCCTGTCCCCCAGGGCTCCCAGATCCTCCTCCACAGAGTTGTTTTCCAGCCCTCCAGCATTGCCTGGGTGTCCCAAGCTATTTCTCCCCAAATGCAGGACTCTGCCCTTACCGTTGTTGAACTTCACAGACATTTTCTGAGTCCAGTTCTCCAGCCTGTCCCTGTCCCCCTGGGTGGCAGCACAGCCATGCAGTGTCTCTGCTCCTCAGTTTTGTGTTGTCTGTGACCTTGCTGAGGGTGTGCTCTGGCCCAGCATCCAGGTGATGTCAAGGTGTTAAACAGCATTGGCCCCAGTATTGAGTTGCTTCCAGCTTGACTTTGTGCTACAGTGACATTGAAATAATTTTAACCCTCTCCTTGTCTAAATGGGATTCAGCTGCAGAAAGACTTTTGAAGGCAAATGCTGCTGTAATAGTGTGATTTGCTTCTTACAATTCAAAATAAGCCCTAGAGTAACCACGATGTGTAAGATCTTGGGGGTGATTCATGTGTATAGTAAACAACAAACAATCCAGGAGTTAAATAATTTGCCTTACCCAGAGAGAGGTGTTTGTTTTCTGCATGCACGAGCAGAGTGTGTTTAGTGTCAATCACAGAGTACCACAGCTGAGATTCCTTTAAGCTTTTTATTGCCTATTTAAAAATGATAAATATAAAGCTTTCTTAAAAATAAAGGTATTTAGGACACTACTAATTCTGCTTTTGATGACACATCAAACCAAACTACTTGCTTTGAGGGTGGAGAGATATGAATAAGTGGGTTTGACATTCATGTGCTGTAAGGCAGTAGAGACAATGCAAATACTTCATCATTTAATATTCATGTTTCAGGTTATGGGAGTTGTATATTCATATTTCTTTGACTCACTTCCCCCACAGTTTTAGAATTTGCAATGACATATGGGTGAATCAGATATTTGTCATGCACATACCTCTTTAAAGAATAGATAAGGAGCTTTTATAACCAGACCTGAAGAGATGCTCACTTAGACTAATGAGGTATTTTTAAATAAGTCTGTGTAATTTCTCTTATTGCTATATGGATGTGTTGTGTTGATTGCTCTTCTGAAAGTCAGTTTGCCTTGTCATGTGATAAAAACAGTGTTGGGAGCTGCTGAGGCATGATAAATTCATGTGTCACCAGTTACTTTGGATTTGGGAGGCATTTCTTTAATGATTCATTGCAACTCATTTTCTAACATTCTAACATAAGAAACTTTGCATGTAGTTTCTTTGGAATATAGGTTTTTCTTCTAAATTTTTTGTTGGTTCACTTTGTATGCTGTAGGTGATGCTGCTGCAATAATAAGAGTAGTAAATTTTTAAAATAAATAGTGTTTTAAACAAGAAGTTGAGCAAGCTGAATAATCTAAAGAATTTGAAGTAACAAAAAGTTTGGATTTGCTTTTTGAGTGTTAACATAATACACTAGGTAAGTAAGAGGAAACTAAGTTTCAGATATTTTGAAGTAGTGAAGTCTCACTGTTTCCCTTGAAAACAATTGATCACATGAGCAGAGTAGAAAATTTTCCTCAGTTGTGATGTTCTGAATATTTTAAGGCAAGGGAAATCATTCAGTAACAATCTGACTGTTGTGATTTGATGAATGAATATTTTTCAGATTATGAGAGCTGATATTTATGTGTGTCCCCAAAGCTCTTTTGAAGAATTTGACATAAATAGCTTCCTGAAGGCTTTGAGAACACAAATTTCAGTGACACATCAGTCAGTGCTGAAATGATGGCTTCTGGAAATCTGCAATTATTCAGCTGTTCTCCTGGACCCTCCCAAGAGTCTCTGGCCTCCCAGACAAAATGCTAGTTTACTGTGAGACATTTTCCCGAGTTTCCCATTTTCTCTTTGAAAAATGGAAGAAGTCTTAGGTGAGCTTAGTTTCAAGTAGTGGTAATCTCATTGTTCCATGTGAAATACTTGAATAATTCTTTCATAACAGTTACTATATTGTTCCAAAAGGAGCAGGCTCAGGTTCAATCTATTTGCTAGTCTTCTGATAGAATACAATCAGTAGTCTCTCAGTATAATGTTGTCAGCTGGGTTGTGTTTTGTTTTAGTTTTTTTTGTTCTTGTCAATGAACCTTGCTCAAATTGCATGGACATATTGTGCCACTGGCTTCTTGGCAATACTAAAGTTTTTTAATTGAGATTCTTCTTTTCTGTGTGGAATTCTATTACATCCCCTTGCAAGGCAAAGGAATTTATTGAACTTGACTGTGAAATTGGATAATCTCAGACTGCATATTCTTAGACTGTATTCAGCAATGTTGGAGGAAAGCATATTATAAAGGACAGGCTTTGTAGCAAGAAAAGCAGATAGAGAAGATGAAAATGCACTGTGTGGGGAAATTAGGGATGAGAATTTGTCTCTACTTTGTCTTACACTTCTACATACCTCCTGTTTGCTGTAGATTCTGTAACCTAATATGCCTCCTCTATCTACTGTCCGTATTACTTAAACTACATTGCTTTGGATTTGGCATCTTCTCCTATTCTGTTTTGCAGCAGTTCTTTCACAGCCATAGTCCTTCAGTGATAGGTGAACTGATGTGTAGTACATCTTGAAATGATTCCATCACTTCCCTTAAGCAGCTTCATAAAGAGAGGAAAAATATCTCTTCTTCCTGCTTGTGAAAACTAATTTGAATATTCCTATATTAAATGACTTTTTCTTCCTGCTTGGTGGTGTGTCACAAGTCATCAGTAGCTCCTAGACACAAAAAACCCCACTGGAAATCAGCCCATTTAGTAGGGGACAAAGGAGCTTCCCAGAGGGAGAAGGAGGAAGAAGTGGATGAGGAAGAATATTTGGCAGCAGGGCATCAGTGAGGAGGAAGAGAAGCAGCTGTAGCATGAGGAGGAGGAAGGAGAAGAGCTAAACACGGTGAAAACCACCCAGCCTTCATCTCTGAGTGAGCCCCCAGCCAGGGGAAGGTTTCAGTCATGGCCCTGCTTCAGCTGCAGCCCCAGCCCATGACAAGCAGTTAAAGTTAGCACATTATTCCTCGTTAAAGCTTTTCCTGGAGATTGGTTTTATTATATAATCTCATTATATTGTATACAGATGAACCACTATTTCCATGAGTAACAGTTCTCATTTTCCTTATTTAATTGTATTTGATGACAACTGACTGTGATCTTGCATCTCCTAATTCAGGTTAGAAGGCAACTCTGGAAGTCCTCTAGCTCAGCCTTTGCTTCAGATTCTACATAGTGTTGCAGGACATTGTTTATTTAAATTCATTCTTAATTCCTGCAGGTTCTTTTGTAGATTGGAAATTCGTTTGGCTATTTGGTACCTTTTTAGTATTTCCTAAAAACTGTAGCTTTTTTGTCAAAACATAGACATCTGTTGGATTCCAGTAGTTTGTTTGGTTTTATTTTATTTCATTTTTCCTAGTGCTGGATTTAGGAATGAGACATCTTTCTGGGGTAAGCTTCACAGAAAGCACTTGCTAGAAGCTGATGTTTGTGCCAAAAATTAATTACATTCAGGCTACTATACTTGAGATACGTGAGAAATTACTCTTTTTCAAATTCTTTTCTTACCATGCTCATTTTACAGAAGCCCTAGAGAATTTCTGTATCCTTTTCAAGAAGCAGATGTGTGCTGGAGTTTTGTTTGGGTTTGTTTCTTTTTTTCTGTTAAGGTATAAGAAAATAAATCCTGTAAGGCCTCTTTGTCTGCAACAAAAACTGTATGCTCTATGTTCATTCACTGGATGCAAAACAGGCAAGTACATGCTTCCTAAACACAAGCTTGTTTTTTGCTGCTAAAAAAATGTACCATTCTGGCTGAAGTTTTGATTTTCTTTCAGAGAGGGTTTTCTTAAATGCTAATTTTAAATTAATAAAATAGAGAGGAATTATTTTTGATTCAAAATTAGGCAGGCTTACATTTATTATATAATTGATCATTCCTATATATGTGCTATGAAGCCTAATCAACAACACTCACTAGACCTTTGCTATTTGAGAAAAAAGAGTAACTTGCAGGAATACTACAATGTCATCCTCTGTCATTGTCATTTTCCCTTATATCAGCACATATTACCATCTGTCTTTCAGCTTATTAAAAGAAAGAAGTGAGCAGGCAGGGAAGTTTGGTATAATTGAGGTTTAGGAGAAGGATGTGCTTTTAGTGGTGCAATTCTGCCTTTGTTTCCTGGCTATTTCAGGAATTTTTCTTTTTTTTCTTCTCTGTCCTCTTCAATTTGTACTTACAGTCTCGTTGCTCATTCTTTAGCACTAAATGTGGAACTATTTGGAGCACTTTAGAGATGCTGAAAATATTGTGTTGACCTCTGGGCTCATAACAGGTGAACAGTTCTGCTTCAGGCTGGGTGTTGTAGTTTGGATACATTGCAGAAGTACAGCAGGGCCTGCATTTAGAAGTATTTAGCATCCTTCAGTCTGCAGATCTGACCTGTAACTCCTGGACAGGAATTTATCTTCCTGTGAAATGCTTGTTAGGAATATATCTGATAAAATACCTCTTGAAGTCATTAAAGACTTTTCAATGAGTGCTTACTGAATGTTTTTTAAATATGCTCTGATTTAAAGAACTATATAAATTCCTACACATCAGGATGGGCCCTCTTTGGAATCCAGCTAAATAGTAGTAATGAGTAAGAGATGTCAAAGAATAAGTAATAACCTGATAGAGGCATATTAGAAAATTGTGACTGGGCCATAGTACCCTGCTTTGAATTTCAGTCTTGTATCAAAAACCTTAAATGAATTAAAGTATTTTTCAACTTCATCTGTAGTGTATCAACTTGAAGTCAATTTTAAGACAAAGTAGTAAAAACTGGGTTGTTTAAAATGCTGTCACAATACTGACAGAAAGCAGAGTCTATTCTCATATGTAGAAATGAGGTGATGTAGGGTTATTTCATGAGAATCCTTAATATATTTAAACTGTACATAGTTATTTTCATGCAGACATTTTTACAAGTTTGGTGAGAAACCTTTTTGTTTAGTTGTCATAGAAATTTTTTTTCATGAATGAATTATTTGAGCGTGTTTTTATATAGTATATCGGATTAAACTGTGGTTTTTATGCTTTTTCCCCTTAACCTGAATATCAGAGTCTATCTCTGGTGGAAAAACTGATTTATTCTTTGTAGTCTCAGAAATGAAAAATATCATCAAATGCATAAAATCATCAAGGACTTTTAAAATTCGATTGCAAAGCAATCAATAGCTTCTCAGTTATTTAGCAACCTCCTACTAAAATGCTGAATAAAATTGAGGTTACAAAGTTCAGCAAGCTGACTTGAAATCCATAGGAATGGGAATATTGTGCCAGTCAAGGCTCCTTATAGGAGCAGTGTAGCATTGCTCACAGCAGCAGTTTGTGTGTGTATATATATATAAAATATGTGTATTTTATCTGTGTGTGTATATCTAGTATGATAAGGACCATCAAACATACTTGCATTTTTTTTTAATATTTCTAATTCTTAAATAAATTTCCATGAATAAAATGCCTTTTTTTTGGGTGTATCATCTATTTGCAGCTTTCTGTGCTGTGTTCCATGTCCAGGTTCCATCGTGCCTGGAGCACGGCCTTGCCAGCCCAAATTCCCTCCTCTCTCTAACACTTGTGGAGTTCTTGTGTGTTGTGCTGCATTTGTGGCACCTACATACTTCTACCTCAGTATTTTCTTAAAGAAAAATAAACATTTTTTGAATTCACGGTCTGGCAACACATTTTAGTTAAGCTTCTTTGGTATAAACTTTTCTGTTGTACTCGCTTAACTGAATGGGCTTAGACAGATAATTGAATTTCCAGACATATGATTTGTCAGCTTTGTTTAAAATCAATCAGTTGGAGCCCTTTTTATTTCTCCCCAAATATAAACTAAGGTGCTTAATGTTGTTAAGTGGAGCCATGGTAGTACCTGGTTTGAATGCTTGTACACTCCAAAGAGAAATGAGACAGGCACAGGCACTGAAGTATGACAGCTGAAGGGATTATCTAAATTTCTTGTCTTATGGTTTTCATTTAGGAATGGTTTGTGGAAATTTTTGCCTTGAATATTGTTACTGAAGTGCTGCCATTTTCTTACAAGGATAAAGCCTGCTTCTAAAGCTGAATTATCATTTGCTTGCAATTAGATGCCAATTAGTAAAACAATGATCTCATTTTACATTGGCCATTCTGAATTTCCTTGTGTAGTATCCCATCCTTATGTTTTAGTTGATTGTTGATTTAGATAGACTGTGTGGTTTGTTTGCCATCAGTATAGCATAGTACAGAAAATCTAAATTAAACAATTAATGGAAAAGTTTTGATTATGAGATAATCTGTTTCACTGATGTGTTTATGTGGTCCTGGAAAACTAATTTTCCTGCTACTCTGATGTTGATGTATTATTTAATTTTTTCCTTGCATCATGGTGACACAACTTAGGTAAAGCTCATTATAACAGAGAGTCTGTTTGCTTCCATTGAAAAGGACTTTTTGGGAAAACAATATTTATTTATAGTTTTTTTTTTATCAATAGAGAAAATGAGGTGCTAAAAGTGCAGCTTAAGAAGTATGTAGGAGCTGTCCAGATGCTCAGAAGAGAAGGTCAAACAGTGGAAGGTAAGGATAAAATGAAAGGGGTAAAAGAATCTGTGCATGGTGTTTGTTTTCTGTGTGCTGCCATTCAGGGACTAATATCTTCCAATAGTGAGAATAACAGATTTGATATATTTTCCTTTTGTGAAAAAAATAGATGTAGATTTTTGTACTCATTTTTACAGAGCATTTTCTGGTAGATGAGGTGGTCTTACTTTTTTTCAATGAGAAATTTTCCAGAAAAAGCTGTCTGATGAAAATTTAGCTTAAATAAAAATCTGTGAATTAATGTGATATTGGAATATAAAAATAAATGTAGTATCTCTAGATTATACTGTTGTTTTGGAAATCAGTATTTGCAGACTGTTTGAAATAGATTCTGTACTGAGTAGTAATGAGCAGATTTTATATCTGAAAGAAAATGAGTGCAGTTATCTGCAGTTTTACCTGTTTGTCTTCTGTGGTCTGTGATGGAAACATCCATGAGGGGCTGAATTGATGTCTTGATTCTGAATTTTCTGGTGGGACCTGGATTTCCCCTGGCTACTGAAGGTGTTCAGAGAGCTGAGAGGGGTTTTCAGCAATTGGCACCATCTAATTTTTTAAAATTGTGAATATTTTGGTCGTATAAGTGGCTGTATGAATGAATACTACTGTTCTTCAGGGTTAGCCACTGTACTTATCTGCAGTTTCAAAGCTTCATTCATCCCTAAAAGGATATTTGTTAGTGAGAACACATGTTTTTACTTCCGACTTTGCTGGAGTGTAGTGATTCATATTAAGAATTATTCACGAAAACCATGGCTTAGGCTTCCTATAATAGCAGAAATTATCCTCCATTAGGTAGTGACAGTTTCCATGATGAGTATAATTATAGGAAAAGAAAAAAAAAATTCCTAGGCTAGCTATATTCCACCGTGTTAAAATTATGCAGATTAGTGAGTGATAAGAATAGAAACTGAGTAGGATGGTCAGATTTTATAGATGAAAAAGGAGGATGGAACAGTACCAACATTTCTAAAAATGAACACACGTGTGCTTTATGCTGGAAAGATACTTAATCAATCCACAGTAATTTTCTATAATATTTATCACTAGTGACCAGAATACATTTCAGCTACATACAATATTTGTAATAAATTTTTCTTGTATTGTAACTTCACATGTTGAATTTTTGTAAAACTAAATTCTTTTTCCTTAGCTGCCATTGAAAATTTAGGTGAAATTTTAGTTGTACTGTGGTCTCTGACTCAAAGTACATAAGCATGTAAATAATCCCTGAGAACTAGCTGCAAAAAAGAAGTGAAACAAAAGGAGTTTTTTCTTTTACCAGATTTATAGAAACTATTTCACCTGTGGTTTGTATATGTAATGAGTAATTTTAATTGTAATTTGTCTTCTTAATGGTATGAAAACAAAACTTTTAAATGTGTTGTAGATATTAGAATACAGATTTTCTGTGACTCGGTTTTGAAAGAGTCAGAATAAACTGGGCTTCTGCTGTTATTTTTATCACTATAAGTAATGAAGACTCTACATGTTTGCTACAATAATCAGATCAAATGCTATTGAGTATGGCTTTTAAATAGTTTCCTAAAATAATAAATGAAACTCAGCTTCATACTTTGCCTTGTGGAGACTTAAAAAGGCCAAAAACCCCACTCAGCAAATGTGATTATAAATAAATTACCCAAAATTCAGAACTACCAGCTTTCAAAATGAGTGATCACTGCTGTAGCCTGGGCAGTTGGATATAGGTATTTAAATATTTAATAAATGAGCATCTTGATTTTTCAGTCATCAGCAGGAGTTGGCTCTGTACCATTTTTTAAACCTGCTTAGACAGAATATTTGTATAAAAATGCTGATCTTAGAAGTCTGGCTTAAGAACTTGAAGCAACATTTACAAGAAAAAGATCTTAAAATAGCTTTCAAATTCACTTAAATAATAAATTTCTAAATTCTTCCTCAAAGCAAAAATCAGTTCCCAGGATCAAAAATATTTAGCCAGGTAAATTATGGTGTCCTCTATCTACATGATAGTGGTTATATATATAGTTCAGGTTTTGAAGAATGGTGAAAGCGTTTGTTCAACTCCTCTTCTATTAGGGCTTTGCTTTTCTGTGTTAACTTGTTTTCTTAGAAATTAATGAACTATGACGAAAAGTGGGTTTTGTGTAACTTGGAGGAGATTTACTTAGAATAGGCCTTAAAGTGGTCTTCAAATACTTAAACAATAGCTGGGAACAGGAATAGAATAATTGTAATTTTCATTCATTACAGATAAAAGAAGCAGCAATGAGCTGACATGGCAGGTGAAGGAAGTTTGATTAGTTATCAGGAAAGCCTTTGTGAGAAGAACACTTAAATAGGTTATGCAGGGAAGCGTGATATCTCCCTTCTTGGAAGGTTTTAGGAAGAAATTAGACAATTAACTATCAGGAATGGAATAACTCCAGCTGATTCTGCTTGATGAAAATAATGAAATACTGGGTGAAGTATGAAATGTTCATTCTCAGCCCTGTTTTCTGTAAATTCTCTGATATGTAAGCAGTCTATACAAGTAATACAAAATTATATTGTGGAAGCCCAGTTAAAAAAAAGGCTTAAAAGAGAATGTAAGGTTAGTTTTAGACTACCTGGGGCAGGAACTGCTGGTACTACATATATTAGACAGCTGTAGTTACAGAACAGCCAAGTGCTTTTGGTTTACATTTTTTTCTGTTAAGATTCCAGTCTAAACATTTTTTACCAAAAAGGGTCCCTGCAGAATCTGTATTTTAGTACTTGTAATAGTGTTTAATATTATGGTCTGTTCCAATCTTTTTAATAACCGTTTCTTATAGACCTGTTATTTCTAAACAGGATGTCCTGGATGTTTATGGAATTTTACTTTTTAATTTGAGGTATCTCTTTGTTATAGTTCCGCCAAACATTTGGAGCACTGATGGTGAATTCACAATTCCAGAGCAAAAGCAAGTAGAAAACAATGAGGAACTTGCCAGCTCTTATGAAAGGAAATTGATTGAGGTAAAGTTTGTACTGCACAGATTTTATGGAATCATAATTGTAAAACAAGGTTTGGAGCTTCAATAGGTTTTTTGCTTAGTTGAGATCTTTTTTTCCTCAGGAATGTAAAAGATAAATCTGATTTTTTCTTCAAAAATAAAAAAACTCAGATAATTAAAAGTACTTTTCCTAACAAGGACACACTTTTATACACTGATATTAAAATGAAGCTTTTAATAAATAAGCAAGTTTATTCAGGTTTTAACTGCTGGTGGTGAAGTTGAAATCACCACAGACATTAGATTTGAGGTTTTGTGTAAGGCATGGCTGTGTTGGCAGTTGAGCTTTATTTAAGATCATAGTGAAATCTGTAGCTTTTTCTGTGCTTTCATGCTGGTTTCTGATTGCAAACCATGTTTCATTTTTGTATCGCTTATTGAATACTGCAGTAAGGAAATGGCTGATAGAAACTACTACTTCTGTTGATATGACCATGTTAGAAAAAGTTCCTAAGGCAAGATTTAAAGATTACTGTAAAATTCATTAACGAAAAAAAAAGATAGATTACGGTTTCATCCTAAATTTGAATACAAATTATTTTTAAGAAAAAAGTAATGAAATTTAGTGTCTAATACCCATATCTGCTATTAAATATTAAAAGAACATTTTTATAAAAAGTAAAATAATTCTCTGTGTCTTTCTCTTTCCCAAAATACCCTGAAATTGGATCCCACATTAACTGATTAGCATGAAGATGACTGAAAATGCAGGTCATGGATCAAAGAGCTTCATGCAGTTCTTCTAAAACACGCATACTTGGTTATCCTTTTCTCATAGGGCCATGTGAAACTAATTCTCTACCCTTGGTTGAGTTCTTTTGACTCCTTTCCTCTGTTCTGTACCTATCAAGAGAATATGTTAACTGAGGACACAGGTAAAACCTCCTTCTGCTGTGGAAGCCTCCTTAGTTGTACCACGTCTGTTCTGTGTGCTCAGGCGTTTGTTGCTGACACTTCTGAGTTTGTGGCAGTGTCAGTGGTGACACAGCTCTGGGTGTAACCACAGGAAAAGCTTTTTTGCCAGTGATACTGGGAAGAGGGCGGCTGCATCTGTTTCACTTATTAGTGTCTAACAATATCCTCACATATTCCAAACAGGACATAACCCTTGTGACAACCCTTCTCTAAGGCTCTGAGCATGGCAAGCAGTGTCACTCTCAGTAAACACTGGTAGGACAAAGACTGGGAATTATTGCAAACATGAATAAGAATTTCATTACATGTGCATAGTTCCCAGTTTATTTTGATATGAAAGCTTCAGCTTATTTTCTACTTGTTGGTTTTGAGGAAGCCCAACTTGTGCTTACCTTGTGTAGTGAGTGAAAAACCAGCCAAGCAAAAATCCACACAACAAAACCAAATCAAGCTGTCCTGGTTTAGGGCAAATTTTTGGAGGAAACTTCTGAAGTGGTCTTTTCTAGAAAGCAAATTCAAGCAGCCCCTTCTCCAACCAGTTTGTGAGGTAAACCTCCTTTGAGAAAAGTGGAAAAAAAAATGTTTGTTTAACAAGCAAACTGTTCACAAGCATAAGGAAAGGAATAATATTAAACAATGGAACCTCTTCTTCTCCCCACTTTGCTCTCAGAACCAGTCCTAAAGGTGCAGAACTCAATATCCAGCAAAAACAGAATGGACAATTGGGAATACAGGCATCATAAAGTCACCCTAGGACACAAGCCCAAAACAAAGCAGCCTAATGCCAGCTCTATTCCTAAGTCTTTCAGTCTGTCGTGGACGAAATAACTTGTTTGCAGATGGAAATACTGAGAAGAGAAAATGGAAGTTTTGAAGCAAAAAGCAAAGTTTGAGCATTTTATGACTGTATCAGTTTTTTTGGAACCGTCTTTGCCATTTTCAGTTTTACTGTTTTTCACTTGTAGAAAAATTGACTTGTTAACAGGATGCTTGCTCTATTTTGCAGCCCTTTGGCCTTGTTTCTTTTGAGAAAAAGATGTATAACAACATTGATTTTTGGAAAGGAAATTTAATGGGAAAAATACACCCATGCTTCCACTAAGAGCAAAAAGAAGCAACTTCCAGTCCTAGAGTTTCTTGGGAAACACTTTGTTTTGCATTTTGTGACTATTGGGGAAAAAATGCCTATGCCTGACAAAAATCATTAATTCAGATGTGACTTGTGCAAAAACATCTATGAAGTCTTTGCTACAAACAATATTAAAAAAAAATCTTGGATTCCATTAAAACCCTCTGTAAGAAAATTACTAATTTTTTTATTGTTGCAAGTTTTGATTTTATTTTTGTGGTTGCGTTGTTGTTAAATGTCTCTTTATCTAGAAGCGTATTCTTCCAAGATAGATTGTGTTGTTAGATGCTTAGTGAAACACTCCTAGCCTGTTTTGGTTAACTGCTTGGTCCTTTGCTGTGAAGCATGAAGTGATGCTTTCTTTGTCCTTTCTCTGGAGACTGCTCTCAGCTGTGGCCATGCTGGCCAGTGGAACTGCAGTGCTCTCAGGCTCTTAGGTTTTCTTTTGACAACTCTAAAGAGTTCTGTTAGTGTGGAGCCTCAAGTGTTTACTTTAGCCTCACTTCATCTTCATGAGAAGGGTTTGGGTTCTTTAAATTGTTTTCTCATATAGGAAGGAGCAAATCTAAATGATCCTCTGTCCAAGGGAAACTTAGCTTATTTATACTTTATTTTTTTGCTTCAAGCATATTGTTGTGAAGAAAAACAACTGTGAAGGTGATTGAAGTCCCAGCAGGGAAATTTATTGCTTAAGCTTCAATGTGGATTGAGTAAAGGAAGATGTGACTCTATGAAAATGGAACTGAAAGGATATAATTATAAGGAGACCTCTTTATTATTTTAGCAGACTTTGATGCAGGAAAAATTAAAGGAGCTTAAATTAATATTGTTATTCATTGCTCCTTTTGATTTGCTGTGATGGTAATGCTTTTTTCTTTGACAAGGAAAAGTATTGAAGTCAGTTAATTGCTAATAAGTGATACCTTCCAGTTGTCCTTTTGATAATATCGAACAAGTGATTTGGGATTTTTTTGCTGTTAAAATTCCTTTTTATTATTTAACTTTGCTAGGGATACTTACAAATTTTTGCATTACTTGCTGTGTTTTGAGAGAGTTGTTGAATTTACATATTAATTGAGTCTGCAAGTAGAAAGTTATTTCAAGGACATCCAAATCAGAGAGACAAAATAGTCATATATCAGTCTGGATTTTGTTGTTCTGATAGACAGGCCCTGAAAAACCAAACTTGTTTTCAAATATGCAAACTGTGGAGATCCACTTGTAAATTTTTATATTGGTTTTGATAACCAGCAGTATTATTGCAGCTTTTCTCTGTGAATTTACAACTAGTTGTGTGCTGTATCTCTATACTTGAAATGCAAAGAAGTTCTGCCTTACAGCCCAGGCTCTGTGGAATTAACAGTGACCTGTTAATATTAACCTGGTATTCTTAAATGTTACACCACCCACATTAAATTGGAATTAGTGGTTAAGCTACTACGGAAAATGATTTATCTAGAATTAATAGTATTATATTATTGTTTTCTCTAGTAAATTGTTGGTGTAGTTTAGATCTTTTTTGCAAATATATTTCAGCGATGAATTTCTGGGTTTGAAGGACTCCCTCTAATATAAAAAGAAATGGGAAAAGAATGCTTGAAGTTCACCTCATGAAAATGATTTTTACTTTTTATTTATATTCAATGATATGAGATTCTGGCTTGTCAAATTGAGGATTTTTTTGTTTGCTTTGATTCTGTGAAGGATGCAGTTTTGTGTGGAACAAAGCACAAAATTAAAAGCAGGCACTAAATTAAACTGCTTTATTTTGGGGAACTTCTCACTAAATTAAACTGCTTTATTTTGGGGAACTTCCCTGGGGAAGAGGGAGAAGGCAGAGTAATTCAAGAAAAGGAAATAGTGAAATTCACAGATAGTAATGAACTGCTTCCAGAAGGCAAACTATGAACTCTTAAGAGATTTAGCAGTAGCTCAAGTCTGTGTGCTGTTGTTGAGGTGCCTGGATTGAAATTCATGTTGTTCAGCTGTGCTCTCATGCTGTTACCCTGCTGCCTCTGCTGTTCTCTAGCTCTGGATGAGGAGGAGGAGGCATTCCAAGAGGCGCTGTAACAGGAACAGGTTTAACCATGCTGCTGGGGCAGCCCACGGGGAGGGGCCCAGCAGTGCCCACTGTGCTCATCTGTCTGCTGGAACTTTCCATCCCCTCACTCCCCCAGCCCCTGGCACTCTCAGAACATCCTGAACCACTTGCTGCTCTCTTGACTTAAAATGCAGAGCACAACCACGCTCGGTGTCCAAAGAGGCCACTCTGTTTACCTGTGAGAGCAACCTGTGCCACAGCCTGACTCTGGTATTTAGACTCCTCTGACCTCTCACAGATTTGCCTGGAGTGATTGACTTCTAGGTCCATTCCTATTAAAACTCCAGCTGAGGGTGAAGAGTACATCACTTATGAATTATTGACAAAGTTTAATGCAGTTTGTGCATTTTGCAGTACTCCCTGTTCAAAATATTGTGATTAGTTGGTACCTGTTGAGTGCTGCATTCATCAAAGAATTAAACTGAGAACAGAAGTCAATGGGAGTTTTATTAGAATCAGTTGTCATATGATTTCGAGTGATAGGAATAAAATTTGGCGTGAAGTTGTATTTTGTCCTATTCAATTTAATATCAAAACTACATCATTTCAAATGAGTCAAAATTATAGCAAAGTCTGTTCTTAATGATCAGTTCAAACCACCGCATCAGCAGTACTTGGAGAGTAAAAAGAAATTGATATACATGTAAGAAATTAGGTAGTGGTAGTTTTTTTTCCAGTTCAGATCACAGTTATCCCCTGGCTTTGCTTTTCAGGTGGCTGAAATGCATGGGGAGCTGATTGAATTCAATGAGAGGCTGCACCGTGCTCTGATGGCCAAGGAAGCTCTGGTGTTCCAGATGAGACAAGAACTCATTGATCTGAGAGGGCCGGTGAGTGTTTGTTTATTGCACTGTAGAATATCCCTCTGGAACAGGCTCAAACATGCTACTCATGATGAAATATCCATTAGCTTGTAAGGAATAACAGATCTGTGAAGAATTGGCTTTGAACAATTCCTTTCCTCTTAACTATTCCAGATTATGCTTTACATTTTACAATTTCTTTTTAAAGGAAAGAAGATACCCTTTTATTTATTGTAGCTGTAAAGTAAGGTAAAAAGCTGTATCTGTTTTGTTCTAAATGCTGTTGCAATCTGGTTTTCTAACAACTGCTACTTCCTTTGATTCTACGGGTATTAGTCCATCATTGCATCATTATGAACTTTTGTACTTGTATAATGTTTTGTAAGAGCAGAGCTGAAATAAAATGCTCTTGTGTCCTTCCCTTAATGGAATATTGGTTGTAAAAAAAGTGATCAGTACGTTTTATGTGCTTCATCTTTTCCCATAAGTTGCCTATACACACAAAGTACCTTGTTATAGCATCCTTTGCTCATAAAGCCCTAATAGTGATGCTCTTCCCTGCATTTTCTATAAATTTCAAAATTACATGCTTTTACAAACCCCAATTTGTTTCTTTACAGAACTGTGACAAATTCTAACATAAAGGACTCACAAGGGTGATATGTTCACAATCTTCTTTCAGGATTTTGTTTTTCTTTTATTGCTTGTCAGTAAGAGTTTTTATTGGCATTTATAAAATTGAATGTTGATTTGTAATTTCCTTATAATATTATGCTTTCTTAATTGAAAACATAATAGCCACTGTGTGGAAATTATTTCTGTTTTGTAAATAAAGGTCCCTGGAGATTTAAGTCAAACATCTGAAGATCAGAGTTTATCAGATTTTGAAATGTAAGTTTCATAATTCACAAATTTTTCTCTTCATACCGTCTCTGGGAAAGGAGAATAAGCAGAGAAATTAAATAATTTACTTTTTCTCTATTATTTCCAGTAACTGCATTCTTAGCTGTGGTGTTCCATTGTTAAAAAGCATGGAGAGCTGCACAGTCCACAGTGTAGTTAATAATGCTGAACTCAAAGAGTTTAGATTAAGGAAGAGTCCCTTGGAGTGCTTTTTAAGTGCCCTAGGTCTTGGTATTCTGCCAAAGCACCAAGAAGTTTCTGGTTTTAGTGCTTTGGGTTTGATGGGTGCTGGTTGCTATTCATCCTGTGATGGACTTCCTCATTTTACAGAATAGCTCCTAATCACCTCCTTAAAAATACCCCCAAATAAATAGCTCCTTAAAAAAAACCCCAAAACCCTCACTAAGAACCCACCCCAGATCATTCTGGAGTGTTGTGATCTGAATTTTACCTTTAGTAGTCAAACTAATGAATCTTGCTTTTGTGGATGAGGGGTTGAAAATGTAGCTGGTGTGTTTGAATAATAGGAATTTAGAGATGGATAACAAAGAGCGGATGGAAATGGCTTCTGCATAATTGTGCACTGCTCTTCTGTTATTTAATGAACTTCACCTGAGGTTTATGGCTGAAAATGTTGAATTTGTTGAAGTGAATAATTTTTGCTTCATGTGTATAATCAAATGTTGTCAAATGCATGCTGTGAAAAAAAACCCCAAACCCCAGAAAACCTGCAGAAGGAATTGTTTCAGTTGGGTTAATTTTAGGGAACATTTTTAGATTCAGAACATAAAAAAAGTTCAGGCAGAACTCCAATTTTTCTGTTACTTCATTTGAAATTTTAAGTTGCTTTATTGATCACTTTGATCATTATCTAAATCACTGCATGTAGTTGCTTTGCAATTCTTGTACATAAATATGATTCCCTATTTGAAGTTTTTCTCTCTCCTCCTCAGATCAAATCGTGCTCTTATTAATGTTTGGATTCCCTCAGTCTTCCTGCGTGGAAAAGCTGCCAATGCATTCCATGTTTACCAGGTAAGTGAACCAGCTGAACAGGGATTTTGTGTAGAAGTTTCTGACTGAAGTAGCACATTTTAATAATTTAAAGCTCTGTGTATAATTTCATTAGAGATCAGCTAATGAGCAGCAGCAGTAGCTTCATATATATTCATCCATAGGATTGTGTTGATTATTCAAATAGCATATTTTGGGAGTTGACTTGTAGTAGTTTAATACTTTAAAAGCATGCTAATAAGATGACTCCATTGGTCAGGGAGTGTAACAATTCAATATTAATCAGTAAAGCCTTCTTCAGTATGCATGTACATGTTTTACTTCAATTTTGGGGATAACAATGACCAGAATTGTTGCTTGACAGACAGATGTGGTTTACTGCAGTAGCTCACTTGACAACATCTTGAATAATGAAACAATTCTTCACTGTGTGTTATTGAACATGTTCACATTGTGTTCTGCCTCAGGCAGGTCTGAATTTAGGGGTTTTTGCTCCAGCCTGACTTGTAGCTGAAGCATTGAAATTTTATACTGTTTCTTGATTCCTGGATTCTTGGTTTCAGAGCAGTGACCCCTCCATGGATAGAATGGCAGGGTGAGCTTCAAACACTCTCTCATGTGCTATCCTAGGCTATTTGCATTTATTTGTGGATTGTTAGCAGCTGCAGAATTTCTCCACTTTTGTTTCAGCCACATGTACTTAGTTCTGAACAAGATTGCTGAAGCTTGTTAACATTCCTCTCACTCTGAATGATGTTTTTTTTGTAGAATTTTGAATAATTTATGAAGTGTTGGCAGGTAGTTATAAAATACAGGAAAACACCCACCTTTTGGCCAGTAAAAGACAATGAAAAATAAGACTTGAGGTAATGGAAAAAAAAGCCACCAGGATGGGAACAGTTAGTAATTTGTTCAAAAGCACTGAATAATCAATCAAATTGAGATGCACAGGTGTGTGAAAACCTAACTTGTTGACAAGTGTAATATTTTTGTCTTTCTGTCTTTCACATATTTCTCCACTCTGCTGTCACTGGCTACAGATTCTCAAACCCAGACACAAGTCTGCCAACACAGAGATTCTTAAAAGCATTGAGATCTCACCCCACCTGTTACTCTAATGATGTTGCAGCTCCATGTCCACCAGAAGAGCTCTGGTTTCTGCTGCTTCTTTCCTAAGTTGCTCTGTGTTGTTTTTCATCCTGCTTGAGCGGGGGGGTGGACCAGATGGTCCACTGTGGTCACTTCCAACCTTATCCATTCTGTGAATTCTGTGAAGAATTTAATGATTTTTTAATTTTACTTGTAACTTGGTTTCAAATTAGGTTACTGAAGAGTTTAGTATTTGTCATGCAGTTTGACTGGACATCACTGTACAAGTGGGATTGTGAAAGCCTGCAAAGTGTGCAGAATTCATATCTGCTGTAGGTGTTCTGCACATTCAGAAGGGAAATGTTGAGATAAATCAAGCTTCCCAATTTGAAGGAGGTTCAGAACTTTACCCAAAAATCTTCTGAAGTGAGTAGAGAGTTAGATGTCGCTTGTCTTTCATGGAAAACAAAGAGCTTGTAATTGAGGGCTAAGCCTCTTGAGAACAGGAAAAAAGGAAAGAAAATATAGAAATATTGAAAAGATGGAAAATTCTGAATCTACAAAAAGGCAATTTTGAGAATTTTATTAGTTTTATGTGTCTACAGTATGAACTCGTAATGTTGGGCATTCATAGTATGCAAAATTCTGTTTATTGGTATGTTTGAAAAATGTACAAGTTCTTCTGAATATGTTCCATTCATTGTCTTTTCACACTATCAGTTTACAGATTTTTTTTTTAAAGTGAAAAATTAAATATTGTTGTCTAGAACATAGATTGTAGTCAGACTAGTTTGTCTTCAGTTACAGAACAGCGCAGGATATGATAGAATTTTTCCAGTAAACCATTGTACTTTGTTTTTTAATAGTTAGGAGAATAAGCAAGCAGGAATTATCTGCAGCAATGACTTAAAACTTCTATAATTCTTGTTAAACTTTGGTCATGGCACCTGTTGAGCTCTTTCCTTGTGTAAGAATACATGAATATCATTCCTGCCAGTTTTTGGTCTCAGTAACAGGAGTGTCACTGCCCCTGTGCATGTGAAAAAGAAGTATTTTCCCAAATAGACTTCTACAACTGTGATGAAACATTTGGAATGAGTGCCACCTCTTTGATCGATTATATAGTTGTGTGCTTGCTGAATATATATTTTACATTATATAGTGACCAGCAAAGCACTAATTTAGAAAAATTCAGAGTAGCTTCAATAACAGCACTGTGCATTTGTCTTCTTAAATCTCTGCTAAAATGTGTGCTCCTGATTACAGAGGCTTTGTTTCAGTGTGGAAGTTGTTGAAAAAGATATTTACCAGGCTACCAGTCTGTCCTAAACAGACCCAGACTGGGAGTCCAGTTAGGATAAATGATTGAGCTAATTTCTGAGAGTCGCTTTTTTTATAATAAACATTATTTTTACTGCCTTAAAATTTATTTCTCCAGTGGCAGAAAATTAAAATGCATGTATAACTCTTTGTATCAGCTACATGAGAAAGGACTCAATATAAAGGAAAGTAGCAATATTGCAGAATGTTGGTGTGAGCGAGATTATTACCAATACCTTTTGGAGTTCACATTTCTCTAGGGAACTTGAGTGAACAGATGTGAAAAATGGCTCTTGATTGTGCTTGTAATGCTGAGGAAAAGACATCTAATGAACTTTGGAGAAAGCTAAAGTGTGCCAGCTGGAACAGGCAAAGTTTGAAAATTTGGTTTAGTTAAGCATGATTTTTAGATTTGCTAAATACATATGACTGTACTTAAAGCTAATTAGGAATTAGCCCTCAGGTGCTTAACCCAATTCAAAATCAGATCATACATGTGATACTATCAAGGTAAGATATTGCTACTAGATGAGGGTGCTACAAAAGGGCATGAGCTTTGGCCATTGCTTTTCTAGAGGCAGTGGGAGTGTATTTCTGAGATAGCTTGATCTCTTCTGCATTTGCTACTATTAGAAAGCTGAAGAGATTGTCCTTCTCTCTGATGAGCCACCTTGTTACCCTTTGCTGATTTGCAATTGTGTGTCTCTGGAGCACTTCACTTGGTGGAGAGAGCAGGACTGTGCCAAGGGGAGACTTGCTATGTCACACTTACTGTTGATGCACTTTAGAATTGTTGTGCCTCTTCTGTCCATTTTGCTTATAAATAGGTGTTTTGTAGCAGAAAATACACTACTGTGTACATACCCACCTGCCTTGGAAATGGCCACAAGAGGGTGGAAACAATTGCAGAGCATCTCAAGTGGTTTGGAAAATTATGAACCTATCAGTTCCACAGTGTCTGTTATCTGTTTTCACGGACTTCAAAAAGCTTCTGAAGAATATAAGAATTAGAGAAATAAATATGGGTTGCTGTTCCTCTTCAAAATCAATGCCAATTTTGCACTTGTGCTTCTTAAACCAGGAGAATTAATGACATGTTAATTTGCATATCAAGAGGGCCTGACCTGGACAGGATAAGAATAGACTCCTTCAGGAGTTTTCTTACTGTGCCTCCTTTTTAAAATTTAATTTTATGTTTTTAAATTTAATGTAGATTTGTAATGCTGTTTTGAAGGGCATTTCAAAGCATTTCTTTTTGTGTCATGTTAACATCTGTTTCAGATGTTCAAAATCAGTGCATTTTTCATCCTTAAAAAACTCCAGATGTTGCTCTTCAGTAAATATAGCAGGAAAAGTTTCCAGCACCAGCATACTTGTCACATAGTTTCAACCATCAAAATAGTTTCTTTAATTTCTGTTAAGGATTAAGGATTCTGGACAAGCTCAGAAATAAAACTGTGGACTCTGAAAGCAAGCAGCATTTTATAATTAATCCTATTAGATGTGGAAATTTCAATCAGACCTCTGTATTTGTAGAGTTACACTGCACTCTTGCAGTAATGTTTAACTGGCAGAACTAACTGGTTATGAATCTTAAGGATTTCAAAACAAGCTCTGGAAATGTAGCCAAATTTTATGCTCAGTTTGAATGGATGAGTTCAAGGGGACAGTTGTGAGCAGCAGATAATTCACTGCCCCAGTTTAGCACTATGTGTTACTGTCTTAAAAATTAACAGAGCTGGGGATCTGTATCATTCAACTGTGGATGTTAGAACAATTAGAGGGTGTATAAATTTTAGGGGAAAAGCTATTTAGAATTGGATGTGCACTTCAGTGCAGTTATTGAGTTCAATTAAAAATATTTTTTCACTTGTTTTCTCAGAACATAAAATAGTAACAGAAAAATGCATATTTTATAATCTTTGTTCACCATGGAGTTGTTATAGGTTATTCTCATTCTGGATTGTTCCTTGTGGAGAATAGCAGATTGTCTGTTTTAAATGAAATGCCAGTAGCAGATCTTATTGAATAAATAAAGCATAAATCTCCACACGCAGTGCACCAGGAATTCAAAGGTGAAATAGCTGAAAAGTGACTGATAAATAGCTTCTGGCTTGCATACCACCGATTTTAAAGTAGCTAATCTGACATAATTTTTAAAAGGTTTTAAGGAGGTCTAAAAACCAAGTTGTTACAAATGATTAGGAAAGGGATAGACAAAGGGAAAACACTATTATGCTGTGTATAATCTCAGGTTTATCTGTGTGCAGTTCTACTCCTCTCCAAAGAAATATATCAACTCCAGATAATATGGGTGGAAGAAAAAGGTTTTTCACTGAAGGACCATATTAGAAATTCTCAGCCTGCATGAAAGGCAACTGTGAGGGGAATACAGTAGCAATCTTTCAAATAATGAAGGAAATAGAAACGTTTTTAACTGTTTCAAAATGCAAATTGGATCATCCATTGCAACTATTGCCTTGCAATTTCCAAACAAGTGCATGACAGTGGTCTTCTCCACAATATATAATGTGGGGTAATGTTGGAAGTTTTTGTGGGTCTAGAAAATAATTGAGCTAATTAAATTGAAGAAAAATCAATCCAAACACAAA